CAAGTCCTCGCTACGAGGAAGCAACGATTATTTATCGTCGAAAGTACTGCGAAACGATTGTTTGAACATCGTTTTTTTTTTTTGCGCGCGCGCGTATCGCCGTCGGTTCCGTTCGCGTGCCTTCACGTGAACAAAGAATGAAGCCCAGTTCCGAGAGGCTCGGTATGGAAAATTCGCCAGTAACTCGTGATGTTTGCGGTGGATTTCCACCGGAAGATTTACTGCCACTCGATCATCGGAAGAGAAGACGGAACGATTTACGATACCATGTGACAAAAGACCTTCGCCTTCGGCGGTGCTAATCTTCCTTGAATCGACGCTCTTGACAAGCCACTCATGAATTTTCTTAGCAATTACTAATTAATCGAGCTTAGTCGTGTCTACTTATCTACTGTTCTATGGATTAGGATTATATTTGCTTGTAAATGTAGCCATCGATAATCGAACATCATAGAGGCGGAAATTACACCGAGGCTTCATTACAAAGTTATTAAAAAATTTCAAATCATACTAAAAAAATTGTATTTAGTTACAGGGGTCAATTACAAGCATTTTCGGTGAATAGACCTACCCCCGAAATCCTACTCACTTTCTAAAAAAAAATTCGAGTAGGTACTGAAATTTTTAGACGAAATTAAAAAATTTCAAATCATATTAAAATGAAATTGTATTTAGTTACAGGAATCAATTACAATCATTTTTGGTGAATAGACATACCCTCGAAATCTTACGCATTTTCGAGAAAAAAATTCCTAAACGAAAATGTAATTTATGTTGCCCGTAAATTTCATGCGAATCTTTAAAATGTCATAACTTCTGAACGGTTTGGACGATTTTAATGTTTCAAAAAGCAAATAACGCGTATTTTGATGGAGAATATGTAGCAATTCCAAAAAATTCCAAAAAGTAGTTCCTTGACCCCGTAAAGTGAGAAAAACCCTATAAAAATGGTCCAATTTTCAAACAGCCATAACTCCTACAATAGTGAATATATTTCAATGAAACTTTTTTCTGAAGTAGAGCTCATGGGTACCTACAAAAAAGTATTAGACAACTTTTCTGTAGGGCGTCAAACAAAATTACTCAAAATGAAAAACGAATTTTTAAGAAAAATCGACAGGGGGTAGGTGCCTAAATTTTTCGGCGAAAAAAAAATTTTTCAAATCCTTCTAAAAAAATTATTTTCAGTTGCGGGGGTCAATTTCAATCATTTTTGGTGAATAGACATATTCCCGAAATCCTACTCATTTTCCAGAAAAAAATTCGAGAAGATGTGAAATTTTTCGACAAAATTAAAAGATTTCAAATCGTTCTAAAAAAATTATTTTCAGTTGCGGGGGTCCATTTCAATAATTTTTGGTCATTAGACATATCCTCGAAATCCTACCCACTTTCTAGAAAAAAAAAAATTCAGTACGGGGGGAACTTTAAACGTTAATAACTTTTTAACGAAGCCTCCATCAACAAATTAGTATTCTTGATTTTCGTCTTATTTGTATCTCTAGAATCTCCCGTTAAAATTGTTCCTAGGGTTGGCCGAACACACCCTGTTTATTAAAAGTTAATTAGCATACTATTATTTTGATCAACGAGCAGTATTGTGGGTGAAAGGGTTACAGTAATAGCTATGTAATACTTAGAAATGGGTCGTGAGGAAAAAAGAAAAGATTGAGAGACACTGATATAGACCTTGCTCCGTCATTAAATATGTAAGTAGCAAGGTAAGTTGTGATTTCTACGTCGAAAGTGCGGCTTGATGTTTTTGAAACGAATTTTCGTGCAAGGACGTTCAAATTTCCGTTGTTATTTTACAAGGACCTGGTCAGTCGCCGAGTACTCGATTTGTACAGTAATATTTCGCATTTAGTACTTTCTATATTTGTATTTCATTTTTTAGGGCAACGCATTGAGTACTCAACAGTTCTAGTATCATAGTAAATTAGTGTCGGTGCATACTAAACACAATAAGATCAAGATCATGAGCGACCGATGACTGGGACCTACTTCACAAAGGACATTATCTCGAATTTCTAATATTTTTAAAAACTGCAAGAGAAGAAATTTTAAAACATTACCAGTGTATGTATTGCAACAGAATTTCGAAATGTTTGATGAAATGTTTACCTAGTAGTGAAAATTTCGTAGATAGGATCGCCTAACTTTGCATTCTCGATATTGCGCAAGAAATGAGTCATAGCCATAATGAATCGCACATAAAACTTGAAAATTATTTATGCGTCTTTTATCCTGCTCAAACCACCTCGAAGCGACGATACTCATTTTTTATTCAACAACACCAATTAGCTGTTGCTTCTGCTTGATTCATTTGCTCTTTGTACGATCTTGTATATCTATCCGATAAGAAATCACCGCCATGTGCTAGTATTGTTTTGTAACAAGTAGTCGAATTAACATGCTACGTTTGTCCAACTATTTCGCGATACGGAAAGCAACGCGTTAACCTCATCCTTCAAGGACTGGATGAATCATGGTTAGATGCAAATTTTTTGTGGTCGTTATCCTCGGACTGTTCTATTAAGGATTAGAAGTCTTTGAGTCGATGCCCTTACTACAAATAATATTTCAATAACAATAGTTGAATTGAAATCATAAAAATAAAGTAGAAATTAAAGCGACGATCTTCTACGATGACACGTGAAATGTTTAGTATAGAAATTTGATCGATAACGCTGAGAATGTTAGTGTTTGCTGTAGCGAGGTCTTTTATTGGTGCTGCTTAAAAATTATTTTTAAAAAGTATAGAATTATAGACGTAGTCGTAAAAGCAAAGTACATAGAAATTGCTTTCCACTTAATCGAGTCGATGTATATAATCTTCTGCAAAGTGATCAAGTATTTTTTATTAATACAGTTTGTGCGACAAAGCATCGAGTAAATAATTACAAGGTTTAATTCACTAGATACAAAAGGGATTAATGAAAGCGTTGCAAACACAGCTTTTTAACGCAACACCGATCAATCTTCGCAATTATCTTTCAAGTAAAATTTACAACTGTTTGAAATAGAAAATAATTGAGAAATATTAATTGGCTTATTTACACAGGTGATTTGAAAAAATATCATCGTCTTGGACTACTCAAAAACATTACGAAAGCTTGCCCAGTAACCTTTGCCTTAGACGCAATTTGCGTACGACGCAGTTCACTCTCGTATGGAGTAATTTATTTAACAAAACTTTTGAGAAACGTATATAGAAACACGGAGCCATCTAGTGGTATTATCTACTATCATTTTGTTCGACAATAAGTAGAGATTAACGAAATTTAAACGAATGAATTATTATCCCGTGACTCGTACGAATATTTCCCCTTCGACAAATACCATAAGGATTTCGTTTCAATAATTTTTTCGAAAACGATAACTCATAATTATCGCGACGTTGCGAAAGTATCTCGAGCAGAAGTTCTTAGTATCCACTTTTGCAATATTGGCCTGATGCCCAACAGCGATGCTTATCTTCGAGGACGTAGAAACGCGACGAGGAACTATCCTCTCTACTGTATTTCTCTGCTCGACTCTTTCTACCTGCCTCTACGTATATCTGTCTTTATCCCTTTGCCATCGTCACGGAAATAGAGGAAACGTACAGTCGCGGCGGATCTTTATCTCGATCCGTCGTGTCGCGAAGTGAAATCAACTTCTCACGGAGGAAAAAAGTCCCGAGAAAGCAATCGTCATCGCGTATCGTTGTAACAAGTTCCGTCTGCGAACCGTGGAAAGAAGAGCCAACCGTGTGCACCGTGCGTGCATCGCGATAACGTTCGTTATCAGCATCTGGCAAAAAACGAATGCGACCGAGCGGTCTTGTTTCGTGATTTGTGCCGATTATTTAGTAATTGGCCCAACTAAAACATTCAGATATCGTATTGTCTGTTGCAGGTTTCCAACCAATCGACGGCCTCACCGCGACAGTTATAAATACGGTATATCGAAGTCATCATCCGGAAACATGATTTCTATTAATAATTGCCACGAGAGCGAGCCATTTATTCATCGACCCTACTGAAAATCGCATGTTCACGCGCAAATAGGATTGCCGCGAAAGAACGTTGTTTTAACCGTCTACATATATAAAAACACGCTCGAGCAAAGTATAAAAAAGCATTGTCTTGGCATGCACTTATCAAAGTGTGAATCATGCATATACACGAAGAAAAATTACAAACGAAGTCAGTGTCACGCACCGTCGACGTTGTCACATTTCGAAACACGCGACCCAGACCTAAAAAGTTTTATCCTCCAAGACTGACTGATCTTCGCGTATCAGGAATAAAAAGAAAAAAAGAAAAATGGAGTATCGAAAAGATGAAACGTTTGATATTAAGTCACTCGACGTTTCCGCGAAGAGAAACGGACTGTCGCGTCCGTTTACAATTCGCGTCCCGATAACACCGTATCTATCAATGAGTGTTCCCTCAATGACGGAAGTAATCGATATTCCAGCGGGGAGCAGAGATTTCTTAGTATCTTGGTGAACTCTGTAAAGAAAGCGTGTTATCGTAAATACGACACGCGTAACCTGCTAGAGTAATTCGAACCCGGGGCTGAACTATTCGAACGATACGAATAAACTTGGAATATTTGTGTATACGAATTTCATTGTTCTAATATTATTATTTAAACATTCTATTCGACTAATTGCTAAGAATATTCATGCTACTTGTTTATCCACCGAAAGAACCTTTACTCGACTTACGAATGTTTCAAGTATCGTCCTTCCACGAGAAGAAGGCACAGCGTGTTTGCATCCCCACTGTTGCTGCAGTCCGCTGATTGGCTGTCACCGATCTTTGTCACCACTTTCGACCAATACCTGTGAGTCGGCGGACTGCAACAGGAGTGGGGATATAAACATGCTGTGCCTTCTTCTCGTGGAAGGACGACACTCGAGCAACTTCTACAGCAATTATATGTATACTTCCCTCTTGCTATTCCTGCTTGCTATTCTCCCTCTCATTCTCTCCGTTTTCTTCTTCCAGGGACTGAGAGATGTCCTCAGAAGGGTGTCGTGAAACAAGTGGCTTGGAAGCTGGTAAGGGCGCTGTCCGAGAAAGGACTGGCCTTGCTCGTCAACCACGGCATTCCGGAATGCAAGGTACGCATTTCCATCGATACTCGCCTCTCTTCGTATAATCGAAGACCGAGTCTCAAGTATTAAACGCCCTTGATGTCTGGCATGATTATATTCGAAGCGGGGAGAGAGGATGTTGTTAAAAATTATGAATGTTCGAGCAATCGTGACAAAGTCAATGTTAAATCACATTTTGCTAGAATTTTCAGTACCCTTGCATGAATAAGCAGATGATACGATAGAAAATAGTCTCGTTTCGAAAAGGATTAAACGATCCACTTACAGAAGCAGCTCGTTTAATAGAGATAAATAGGTTATACGGCAAGATCACCGAGTATTCGATCGTATTACATCCAGGGTAGTCTCACCGTGTAACGAAGCTCCCGTCCTCGGTTGCGTTACAAAATTACGGTCTCGCGTGGAACCAGAATTGAAGGAGTCAAGGCGAATACATAAATACAAACGAAGAACGTGTATACATTACGCGCATCGTGCCGACGACGACGACGACGACGAGTTTTTCAAGGGTTCGCCGATAAATACGTGTGTATTTTTCGATGACCTTGCCAACGCTCGAATCCACCCTCCCGTCGAGAAAGAAAACGAACGTTATCGTAACCCGCTCGTGTTACATTTTCGCGGGATTAGTGGTACGAGGGTTATATATGTAGAAAACGGCACATTCGTTCCAATCCGTAAACACGTCCCGTGTGGTTCATGGTGTATCTTGACACTAGGAGCGTGTTTACACGAATTTGTTTCGCGCATGCGTGGGCTTGTTGCATTCAATGACCGACATTCCAGAAACGGTGAATAATTGGTATGCTTTCTATCAATCCTTAGTTCTGAAATTGTTACGACATACGTAACGTTTAGAAATAATCGTCGTAATAATCAGTCGTGCGTTAGTGCGTTAGTGCGTTAGTACTCGACATATTGGTCATTCTTTTGCACGATTTCTTTGGATGTCCATTTCAAAGTAAACCGTGAAGACGAATCGGTTGAGTAATTTCGTACGTAACGACGGAGAATTATCGTCGTTACATTTGTAATTCTTTATCAAAGATTGCGTAACAGGAATGACTGCCGACACACGACATTACATCACCGATAATGCCCGATGTAGCCAATTTATTATTTCGCAAGCTGCGACGGCTGGTTACCTCCAGCGAAATCTTTCTCGGTGCGTTCGTTTTCAGCGACAGTTTGGTTCGCTCTGACGTCACGACATGTTCGTTATCAACAGTGTGTACGAGTGCTGAATGCGTCAATTGGCTGAAACAAACCGTCGCCTTTAATTATCTCGGTTCGAATCGAATTAAGAATTCCTCGAGGGGGGGATCGGACACACGCGCGAATAGAACGCATCCGTAACGATGCCTTGGGACGAATTGGTTGAGCAATTGCTCGTAAGAAACCGCGATCGTACGCACGTCGACTCGACGTACCACATACGTACATATTTGTGAATTGTTTTTTACGAGCAAATTTTAGTCCCTCGAAACAACTTCGCTTTTTTTTCGCGACCCGTGCAAATTTAGCAATTCGCTCGTTCGCAAGTCGATAACGACAAAAATGATACGCAACATTACGATGACAAATTGAACGCGTCTCTACTTATCTGTAACTCGAGGATGTCACCTTGGTAGGTGACATATTTCTGATACCGAGCACAGACGTTAATTACATAATGATTCGTTCAATTAAAAACACATTCAAGTACTTGGTATTAGATTACCGATCATTTCAGTGTTCCAAGAAGCCACGTGGACTTTGAACTACTTTCGCGAGGCATTTTTCAACTTTAATTTTTTTTCCTTTTTTTTTTTTTTAATTCACTGATCCTACAGGGATTACGTACTATTGTTTCTCTAGATTTATAAAAGAGCTTTTCTTTACAAATATTGACTCGTTTTATTCAAGTACCTTTCCCGGATATTTGTTTGCAGATGAAAGCTGCTTACAGAGCTCTCGATTCATTTTGCGAATTACCAGAGGAGATACGAGCGAAATACGAGCGCACCACGCCGGGGAACCACGGTTACCTTAAACCGGGGCCTTCCTCGTAATTATACTCCGATTAGATTTAATTAGATCGAATCGTTCGATCAAGATCCACAATTAGATGTTCGACGGATTAATTTTGTTAATTTGGTACAGATATACCGATGAGAAAGAAGCACGTCATCTTTTCAACGTAACCGGAAGCGGGGGTATTCTCCCAGATGATGAGGTGCCTAGCTTCAGATTAGCGGTCGACGAACTCACTCGAGATTTCAAGCAACTGTCTGCCATGCTCCTAACTGTAATGTCTTTTTTATCTCTGCGATGATTTCGGCTACCTTGTAACACCTTAACGACACTTTGATGCTCGATGCAAAAACCAGTTTCGTATATTATTATTCTTTTTCGTGGTTTTCATGGAAAGTCTGTCAAGTAGTCAGTTTTCGTCCGGTTTTCGTATCGAGTTTTTAAAATTCCCTCATATAAGTTTAAGAGTTTAGAATCGGTTTGAAAGCAACATTTCACGTCGTGACAATTCGGAAGCTCTTGAAGTGGTTGTTTAATAAAATAAACAGCTCTAACTGTAAGTAACCCTACAAACCAATCTGGCCAGCAAACAACTAACACGATTGGTTTCTTCGGTTACATTACAGCCATCGGTATCAGTAGACACTATAAAGTAAAAATACAGGCCAATGTATGTGATGTATGCCTTATAGGCTCTGGCCGTGGGCCTAGAGCAATCACCTGATTTCTTGCTGTCGAAGCATTCGCACATGCTGGAATCTGATAACGAGTCAACCCTTCGTCTCCTTTACTATCCGCCTCTTGGTGCACCAGCGCCTGGACTGGCTCGTTACGGCGCTCATTGTGATTACGGTACTTTCACTTTATTGGCACAGGTACGTACATTCGTGAAATTATGTTACAAATACGTAATTACCTAATTAAAACTAAACCCTTAATCGGTATACGCTGAAAGTGAAGCGGAATTAAATGCCTGCAAACCATAGGAATAGTTTTCTTGTATACATATTTATTGCGATTACTTTAGAAAATCCATTTTTACAAAGAATACAAGTCCAACATCATCGATTATAGGATTGCGAAGGAGGTTTGGAAATACAAACTCCGTTTGGAGAACGATGGGGAAGAGTCGGCCATCTTCCCGGTGCTATTTTGGTGATCAGTGGCGACATTTTAGCGAGTTGGACCAACAATCAAATTCCAGCTTTAAGACATCGTGTCGTTGTCCCAGAACTCTGTGGCCGAGGTCGTCATTCCATTGCCTTCTTCGTGCATCCGGATAATAATATTCTCATCGAGCCTTTAGACACAAAGATCGCAATATCGAATCAGGAAGCAGCTCCGTGCCGTTTACAGAAAAAGAAACGCGGCGTTCTGACCGCGTACCAGCATCTGCAACGTCGTCTTCGAGAAACGTATGCCTCTTAACGTTATCCGGACAAATTACATCTTTTTCTCTCAAAATGAAGAAGCGGTCCTAGTAACATTACTGCCGATCGTTCACATGTTCACTAAAGAAGCCGGCAATTTTGAACATTGCAACATGATGGATTTATCTGATTCGAAGACACTACTCGTCTTATATGGGAACTGTGACGTGTAAATAAAGGAACCTTACAACAATCGACCATTGATCGTAAAATTATGGTCTGCACGATTTTCGTTTCAAACGATGCAAATCACCATCGGTAAAATGTAAGAACAACGTCGTTGCATCACAAAGGCAATAATAAAGAAATTTGTACTTACATTTTGTAAAAAAAGGCATTTTGTACGAATGATTTAGTTTCCTAATTATGGGAAAGGAAGATAGAATGTTTAATGACGCGTCTGTTTTATTTTCTATTAGACATATGTTATTTTCTGACCGTTTAAATACAACCACATCGACTAAAATCCAGGTTCCCAGTTAATTGTTTGACGCTCTTTCTTCTGGTTGAAACAGACAAGAGTGTCATTAGGCTGGAATTCCATGGTTATATCTTCAAATCTAAGACCACACTCGACGTCAATTTGGATCGATGACACTTCCTCTTTCAAATGTCTCATCGACGTTAATTTTCCTGTTGACACAACAAAGTATTCCGATATTATTGATTCGTTGACTGAAAATACATGAAGTACATACTGTACAAGTATTATTTATATGTTCACTGAGAAATAAAATAAAATAAAATAAAATAAAATTAAAAATAAAGGAAACCTATAGCAATTGACGAATAATTTCAACCTTATTTAATAGATGTCAAAAGAAAGAATTGTTGTACAAATCTAATATACTAATCAATTAATAGTCTAACGTATTAACTGTTATAATTTATTTACCTGTGTAAATAATTTCCCCATTCCTTACTAAATGATATATTGCAGATTTTTGCAGAACACCAGCTGTACAACGACAACCTGCAACATTAACTTTTTTCTTTCCGTCTGTGATCTCAAACATTTTCAACACGCTTGCTTCGCCTGCGTTTAGAAAAAAAAACAAACAAATAAAATATTATCAGTCGTCTTTGCAGGTATGTATAAATCATCTTGTTGTTTTATGTTAATAGTACCTATTTTTTCTTCGACATGAATTTCACCCAAATTACTATTAATTTCGTTTTTAATGTCATCGAACAGTTTATATATAACATTATATTTTCGAACAGATATGCCCTTTTCCTTGGCTTCTTTTTCCAATTTACTGGGTATATTTACATTAAAATGATAAATAATTGCTAGAAATACACGAATAGTCTTAAACAATCTGCAATAATATACAATAAATTTTTTAAAACAATACATTACCATTAAACGTTTTTGCTAATTCTAAATCTGTTTCAGTGACGGGTCCAATGTTGTAATGAACAATATTTAAACGACAAAGTTCGTTATCTGTATACGTGTCAAACAGATCTAATATGGCTTCGACACTTCCTGCCACATCACCTTTTATAATAACATTAACCTCAGGAGTCGTATTCACCGTTTCCTTAGAAGTAGAACGACGAATGTGTTTAAATGTTTTAAATATCGGTTGTATTTTCCCGAATTCTCTCCTTAGTGATAAAATTTTTTTATATTGCTATAATTAAGAAAGTAGATTACACTTAATCTGATAAGAAAATGGTATTATTTATATATAAACTAGATATTATTTTCAATTTATTACCTTAAGATGTTCTTGGTTCTTCTTATCAGCAGCCTCATTATGTTCCTTAGCCAAAGTCTCATTCTGTTGATTTTGTCTAAATTTTAGAACCATTTGCAATTCTTTATCGTTTTTTACTTCCAATATCTCATCTCCAACATTGGGTAAGTCTTTCCATCCAATAATCTGTATCGCTTCTGATGGTCTGGCTTCCAAAATTGAACGTCCAGATTCATTAAACATAGCTCTCACTTTTGCCCATGCCAATCCAGACACTTAAAAATGAACGCATTTACTATATTTAGTTTAACGAGTGTCGTTTTTCCCCACTTTTCTTTTACGCATTACGGTCTTAAAATACGTTCCAAATATTAAAATTTGAATTCATTTCTCTTTTATGCAAAACTTAATATAAAACGATTTTACCTATTAAACAGCCTTTCCTTAAAGTGCCACGATGAATCAAAGCTGTTACTAATTTTCCGCGACCAACGTGATTAGAACATTCAATAGCAACAGCCTCCACTAATCCCACAGGATCTCCTTTCAAATCCATCAGTTCAGCTTGCAAGGCTATGGCTTCCGTTAAATTTTCTAAATTGGTTCCCTTTAAAGCAGATATGTTAATACACTGTGTATCTCCACCAAGATCTTCAACTAAAATACCATTCTCTGCAAGCATATTTTGCGTCCGTTTCTAAAATAAAATTATGAATTTGAATATTTGTCATTTTTATTTCATACAAGTATTAATATTTTGACATTAAATAAAAATTACAATATCAGCATTAGGTTTATCAATTTTATTGATAGCCACGATAATCGGAACATTTGCATCTTTTGCCATTTTTATACTTTGCAAAGTCTGTTCCATAACACCATCATCAGCTGCTACTACTAATACTATAATATCTGTAATATGTGCACCTCTATATCGCATAGACGCAAAAGCAGCATGTCCGGGAGTATCCAGAAATGTTACTCTGTCTCCAGACTTCAATGTCACTAAACATGATATTATTAACAATTTAGTATAATACCGTATTCTTTTGCTATAAATATTTAAGAATTAATTTTCTTTTTGCTCCGTATCATTTTCTCTATTAATTATATTACGAAAAACATTTCACCTGTACATACACTTGGTCGTGATTTTATTTCATAACATTTTATTTATTTTTAAGTATCGTATTAATACCAACCATCAAAAGCACCTATGTGTTGTGTAATTCCTCCAAATTCCGTTTCTACGACCGATGTGTTACGTAGCGCATCCAATAACGTAGTTTTGCCGTGGTCGACATGTCCCATGATTGTTACAACTGGGTGTCGTTTTACTAATACAGATTCGTCGGGCGGAGAACTAAATACAATTTGTTATTATAATAAAAAAAATGATTTTATCATTTTAATGGTTTAGACGCGTTAGTTTACATTACCTCTTAACGATATCCTTATATTTTACTTCTGCTTTCCTATTATCCGGTGATGCAATTAATTTAGGATTTCCACCTAGTTTTCTGACAACATTGGATATTAACTCAAAACTTGTTAAAAAAGTATCTGCTACATACGATGTTCTTGTATTCTCAAGACACAGGACTTCAAGAACATCCTCGATATCCCTTTTGGCAGAGTCTGCTAATTGTTTTACCGTCATAGGTTTCCATACTTCTATCAGAAGTGATTTCTTGGTCGCCGTTACTACAGGTACATGATCGTCTAAAGTTTTGTTGATGAATAATTGTCTTAAATTCTAAAAATAATTTAGCATTTTTTACACAAACAAATATACATATCTATTAAATATATATATTTAAATAGATTTAATTATACCGCATTGCTATATTTGCTATTAATCTTCTTTAAACATGCAGGTGTAGCATGGTAAACATGATGCTGAGTGTTCGAAATACAATAAGTTTGTAAAATATGATTTGCACTTTGTTTACCCCATATCCGGTCTATTGAAAATTGTCTCTGTAAACTGTAAGAAAGAGAACGGTGATCATTTTTGGGCAGATTTTGTCAAAAATACAAGACTGACAAAGGATTAAATAAAAGAGAGAAAAAAGTCCTTGAAACTTCCGTTACATTTCGGAATTTATAAATATGATTGTTATGTCGATATTAAGGTACAAACAAAGGTTATGTTTAATGTATGACATTTTTAAAAAGTTAGTAAATATAAATTAGAATTATCCATTAGACGTAACGTGTATTAAAAATATGAAGTTATTATTGAAAATATCTATTTAAAAACTTACTTATTTCGAAAACATGATCTGACCGTGGGGGCAGCCATATTTATATCTTCGTGCTTTCTTTCATAACCAACACATTACACTTTATTAGATTGAAATTAACTAAAGTTGAACAAAATATGAGCATAATGTATCACGAGAGACTCTTTACATTCTCCAAGCATTAATCTGCTATAAAAAAAAATGTGTTCGCTAAAGTCCAAATCCTTTTACTGTGTACCATTTGAGAGAAGTACAGTGTACCAAACGAACCCCTTTTTTTACGACACATTTGTAAAAATTGTTGCACGAGTCGTATTGCTTTCAAATGATAAAATTAATGGATATATGTGTGTTTGCATTATACCATCTTGGCACTAAAAAAATTGTAGATGCATATTTGATTTATAATTATATACGTACAAATATTACAAAAATTGTACAAATTAGCATATCCTAACATTGTACTTAGTACATGAAATACTAATTAAGTTTAAACGATAATATATCATTTTACAGTATTATACATTTCTTTTATAATATTTCTATTATTCTATCTAATTATAATATAATAGATAAATGTAGTTCATCTATGGCATTCCTCGATAGTTGAATTGCTCTTGTAAATAAGCTTAAAGACTGAAGAATTTGAAATAATTTACTTTCGATATCGATATTTCATGAAGCAAGACATAGTTAAAAGCAAATGATGTTGATGCCCGAAGTTGTTTGGAATCGCATATTTAGCATAATACACGTTTTTCAGTGAATATTTTACTATTGAATCTTTCCGACGGGTACGCATGTTATTAAGAAAGCAATTAAGCAGTGGTGTGGAAAAATTTGAAACTACAAATGCGTACAAATTTTAAGGTTAAACTTGAATTCGTTGAGCACAAAACGATTTATTGACATTCACTATTTTGATACGTACAAAATTACAAGGAAACATGTCAGACAGTATGGAACGGGATAAGCTTGAATTATTGACAACTAAAGAAACTGAAGAAGAAGAAGAACAAATGAAACGGGAGCTTCTAGGTAATCGAATAATTCCTGAATATCATTGATCATGTAAATTTTTTTCAAGCATCATCATCAATTTATTTAATTATACCTTTTGTTCTTTTAAATAATATTACTGTAACAATATACTTTTACCGTCGTTTTAATAGGATCGCAATAAGAGGAATTTTATTTTTTCGAAGCATAAACAATGATTTTTTGTATTTTAATATTCTTGAATTCTCTGAAAACATTGTTTATTTTGCAGATATGAAAATGTACGAAACATGGTATACATATAAGGATATGAAAGAAATCTTGTGTTTTATTAATGAATCGAAAGATATGGCAAATACGGCTAATGATAGTAAAAATGCACAGAAGGTTAGTTTATCGCTTGTAAATAGTTACTTCCTTAACTCTGTTTAATATTTTATAAACGAGAAATAAAAGTCGAGCGTACTGTTGTTTAGAATTAATTTATGGAACTCGATTATTATAGGCATTATATAATGGTATAATTTTCAGGATTTATTACAATCTTCCAACGATTGTATCTCACAAGTGATATCCAAGGAAAATTTAGCACAAGAATTGGAAATACAGGAACATAGCAACACATCTAGATCGCTACTCCTACATCAATCGAATCATATGTCGCCTGAATTTCACCGGATATCCACTCACAGCCATAGCAGTCCTGAACCTGTGGCTACCATTACAGAATCAAGAAACTCTGCGTACAGGGGCAAAAACTTTGACAATGAGGACACGTTCGATAGATTACACGATAATCTAAATACGAGAGACAGTCATCATCAGAGCGCAAACAAATATGTTTTATTAAAATTAAAAAATACTTCGCAAGATCCTCATACGCATAATGCGGAGACAAAGGTAGACACACACTCGGAACGTGATCAAAAGCTAGAACGGTGGCAAGTTAATCCGCTCGATTCGTACACTAGCAAAAATGATGTGCCTTTGCAACAGCCAAAACGACCTTTAGTACAAGATCGTATGCCATTTAGATTATGCAAAGATGCACAAACACCCGAGTCGCTTGAGAAACTAGTGCTCGCATTAAACATTCATTTAAAACAAACAACAGAATTGTGGCATAGTTGGCAACGTACTACCGATACTAAGTTTCAGTGGGGGTCACCCATTCAGGTGGGTACCTCCGTACAATCCAATTCTTACAGATCGTATCGTTAATGGATCTCAGGGAATACCTGCTTCTTAGATACATATATTAAATATTTTCGGTACGACATTGTACCGTAAAAGATCAATGTTAAATTGTATTTGCACGCAATAATCAAGTTTCTGTTTTATGTATTGAAATTACATTCAAACTATTCATATTCTTAACATAAAAAATTTCCATTTCTTTTCCTCTAATTAAAAATATGTAACCATTTATTAATATAACATTTCTTTAGCATAAATGGTATTTAATATTGTCTTTTATAATTAACGAATAGAACATTTGCGATCAAATTTAACTAAACTTAACAAATTTTTTCTTAAGTATAAATTGTTCGAAAAAATGGAACAGTTTGAGAAAAATAGGATTGATGTTTTGTATACAAATAATTGAAACTGATTATCTGTATTTTTTATAAAAGTTGTAAAGATTGCATTTATACGAACATGTATGCATAAGTGTTTCTATTGAAATAGTAATTAAAACTGTAAGCTACAAACAATTTTTGAATAAATCGTATTTCTGTAAAAAAAAAAGAGAATAGTTGTCCACTTCATTCTATCTGATATAATTCTAATCCTTCTTTCAACATTTCTATAGGTGGGACTTGCTAAAGGTAGTTTGGACAAAAAAACATTAACAAACATTAAGGCTGAAGAGAATCAAATGGAATGTACAAACAAATATGACATTGAACGACCTAATAAACGTAAATCAACCGTGGTCCTTTCTTCTTCTAACGCAACACATTTTAACAGCGACGAAGATGAAAAAATAGTTAAAAAAAAGAAAACGCTACCTCAAGAAGGGCCAAGCAGGATATTACGTTCTCACAAAGGAGCATCTGTTATTACAAACGAAAAAGATGAACGTTCGGGTAATACTAACAATATTAGCAGAACTTGTAATATAGAGAGTACAAAAAATTTTAAAGCAGAACATCAAAAAGAGGAATGCTTATCGCCTGAATTGCTTTCTTTATATACAAGAAAGATTATACCTCTGAATCCGCTTAAAAACATTAGTAATAAGAAAAAATATATTATTAATACACCTGAAACTGAAAATCTAACAGCACACGGTAGCAATATGGAAGAAAGTGTTACAAGTGATATTCTCACGGATGAAGAAATTCTTGCAGAATTAGAGAAAGATAAAGCCGATGGTAATATTAAAATGTTCGATAATACAGAAATTAAACCACTACCAGTTACAGGACTCTCGCGTAGAATAAAAAATGAATGCATGATTTTGGAAAAAATTCAAATTGAGAAACAGAAAAAACTGGAGATCTTAAAGGAGGAGGCTCGAAAAAAGGAAAACGAGAGAAAAAGAAAAAGGGAAGAGTTTTATAGAAAACAAATAGAAGAAAGGCAACAAAGAGAAAAGCAACAAGAAGAAAAAGAAAAGGCTAGAGAGGCAAAAACTAGAAAGTGGAATAGCGTGGTTGATGCAAAATTACGGAAAAAAATTGGTGAACAAAGTAAGGAAAAATTACGTGGTTTACGCGAACAAAACGAAAACAAGATTATCGAAATCACGGAGGAAAATAATTTGTTTCAGGTAAGAAATTTCTATGGATTTCTATTAATAACATATGTATTTTAAATTTTCTCCATCGTTCGTTCTTTATAGGATAATAACAGGACTTCGATAATTAAAAAAATTGAAAGTACAAGAGATAATGTAGGAAATAATATAAATTGCCCTATCTGCAATCAGTCTTTTCCGAGCGATAAAATAGAAACACACGCTGCGGAATGTGAACAATACATAACCGATAACGAAGATGAAAATAATGCTAATTTATTTGAAAGTAAAATAACATCGAAAAACGTTAATAACGAAGTTCTCGAATGTGGTGTTTGCTTAATCTATAGAACAACTAATCGTGCACATTACGAGGAACATGTTAACAACTGCCAAGAAACGCAAGATCAAGAAGAATCATTGCCTGGTAAGAATCTTGAAAATATAAACTTATTTATTTATTCTTAAATAAACAGCCAGTAAGGTCTCCTTTTCAGAATATACGAGTACAGAAATTGATAATATTCTCAACTCACCTGTCCGTTGTTATCGACCAATTAGCGAACAAATTGACGGAAACATAGATTATAGAAGACAGTTTCCAACAAATAGCAAAGCACAGGTACATTCCAGTAAAAAAAGGAAACATTAATAAATGTTGTTTCTGTCCTTAGATTGGACAGATATTGTATATATGTATTTATATGTTGATAAACAGAATCAAGTATCGTTGCTTGTATGGTACTGTTATACTATTCAGCTATATCGAAAAGATAAAATTCTTAATTTTTCATACTAAACGAATGCATAAAAAATGTAAGTTATAACTAGCAACTTTTACATTTATTGTAACATTCCACGTATCGCAAGCGCTTGGTGTGCATTGTTTTGTTAAAAAAATATTCACTATTTTACATTTAAAGTAATTTTGTTAATTTTATTTAAACTTTATATTATAAAACGATAAACTTTGAATTGAAACGGGAAATTAACAAACTATAAATTTATGTTAAAAGAATGCACGCACGCACGGTATACGTTTATGAAAGAAAGAAACGTATAATTGTAGCTACTAAGCATTTAATTTAAATTATTGTAAGTCTAAAATTTGTACTGTATAATAAAGTGTATGTTTATACAAACGGGCGATCTTGTTTATGAATAAACTACTATATTTATAGGTTTCGTTTTATTCGACTTGAATTATGTACATAGAAATTGAAGACCATGAGTTTGAGTGTGTAAGAAAATAGTAGAAAATTCATGTACAAAATTTATAATTATCAATTTATACAATTGCATACTGTTCATACAATAATTCACGTACTTTGTAATAATCTTCAGAAATGCAACCTTCTAGTATCACTTTGCCAGCCTCTTGCTGAAATTAAATTACATTAAATTTTATTAGAATGTAGATGATGTGTATGTATGTATGTATGTATGTATGTATGTATGTATCGAATACAAACCCTTCTAACAGCGATAGTATTATTGCAACACCATAAAACTCCGCCACTAAATTCGGAAGGAATATTACTTTTATTTAAAATCTGTTTAAAATCAGACAGTTTTAATTCGTTTACAAATGTTGTTTGATGCCCGGGAACCTATAGGAACATCATATATTAAATATATTTATATTCCAAGTAAAAGAATTTTTCCCCGTTCAAGTATACATACCTCGTTTAATGGTAATGGTTCTAGAGTAAGTATTTTATCACTTTGGTCTATCGCATCATCTTGCTGTGTGTCAGCGACAGCATCTCGGCATACTTGATCGCGAGCAGTTATCATTGCATCGATCCACGCTACCTCCGAATCACCTTTCCCTTTTGAAAAATTCAAACCACTAACGAGAGCATCGGTCAAACGGACCTAGGCATTATTAGATTAGTAATTTTAGTATGAAATGAAATAGATTATGTTCCGATGAAATTCCATTACCTGATATATATGCGTTTCCGTTGTAGCATCCAGCGTTTCTCCTCTCGCTGGGACGAACACTCGCGCGCCCGCACTTTGCGCTTGCTGAGCCAAGATCTCTGTGTCTTTCTGCGACCCTCTAACTAGTACAACTCTCCGCGGTCTTAATTGTGCTAGGATCTTTTGTAACGATTCCCCATCAGATCTGCCTTCAAAGTCTATGTATGTGACAGATGCATTAACTGTCATTGTACGTGTAACTTGAATGCATTTGGTGGGAATGTCAGTAGGTACCTCCGGATGATGTGCAGCATCTTCATGTTTTGTTTCTAGATTTTCCTTATTATCATCTATTTCCGGCATAGTCTCTGCTATTTTATAATCTTCGGGCCTGCAATAAGATGAATTCGAATATAAATGTTTTCGAAAACTATTATACATGTACGAATACCGTTTACAACATGAGAATATTACCTTATAATTTCTCCATATTCGTCTATTTTAATTTTTTCTTCCACGAACGGGAACATAGGATGTTGCTTTTTACTTTGTTTGAAGAAACCCGGTTTACTTTCTTGTTTCACTAACAAATCATGTTTTCCTCGTCCACCTCCCACTTCTATTTCATCTTCCGATTCCGAGCTCACGTCAGCAGTTTCCCTAATAAATATTCATATTATTTTTTAATATATAAATCAGTAATGAAACTTGTACTATACAATATACAATATAAATTTCCGTACATTTGTTCTTGTTTTAACTGTTCTTGTTTCAATTTTTCTTTTCTTTGATATTCTTCCAACTCCATGCCTTCTAATTTTATTCTCCTTCTTACTTCCAATGTAATATTCCTGTTGCCTCCTTTCTCTACTAAATCTCTTGCAAGTGTTCCTGGCGATGTTCTACTAGTTAATATAATACTGTTTTGGGAATTGCCGCTCCATTGTAGAAACAATTCTCTCGAAAAGCCGCATTCCATATCCGGAGTGCTTGCAAGTACAACCTACAATATAATCGTATACGCAAGTTCAATTTTCTATTACATTTATAAATTGTCAATTTTTTCATAGCCTCTGACCTTTGGGCTAGGAACTAAATTCAGTTCCGCCATGCTGTGGCATAGTTGTAAATGTTTAAATTGGAATGGATTGTTTCTAGCTCCTTCGAAACTCCTCATTAATTTGTCGCTCATCCATTCGATCTGTGATTTAGCAAATTCCACAACATTGTAACTAACGTTATTTAAAAGAGCTAACGAATATGCAAGTAGACCAGATTCTTTATTGCGCCAGAGTTGATCTAACATGTGTGCTAATTCTAATACACGACCAGCAGTATCTACGCTAACCAAAACATTGCCACCGCCGCGTAGCGTTTGCAAAATATTAGCTGTAAAATATTAGTAAACACAAAATGTTGTGAAACGCTGTCAAACATATCTGTTACGAAGTAGTAAGTTTTATTTCAATCGACGTACTCATTAACTTTTCATCCCTAGTTCTGCGCCTAGCTTGCTGGTAGGTAGCATTAAAAGCATCCGTTATCAATAAAGATGGTCTTTGCAATCTTTCCAACTCACAGCCGTTCAAGTGTCGTTCTTTTTTATGGTTGAAATCAACAGCGTATATTATATCCTCTTCGCCGACTTTCACAATTTTCCAAATGGTTCCGCCGATCATGTGACCAGCGGGTAAAGGTGTTAAGGTAACTCCATATCCTTTCCCTTTCATGGATATACTTTGATTATATTTTAATTGAACAATTTTGTCAAACGCTGCGTCGACATCATCGAGCGTAAATAGATCGAAATCTTCCATATTATGACGCGACTGTAATCAAAAGTACAAATGAATTATTGTCCATGATACGATTAAAGTTAAAAAAATGATTGAACCTTTCTTCTTTCTTTTTTTTATTGTGTATATACCTGATACATGTCATACATAAACATTTGTCCCATTTTATATACAGGAATTGTAGCATATATAGGACAATTCAAACCACATTTTCCAACTAAATATGGTAAAGCACCCAAATGCAACGGGTCTGGATACGACAATAATACCGCATCTATTTGATGGACATGCCTACACAGTTGGAAAAAGTTACATTAGTCTATTGTTCTAGTTATTTTGTTTAACTTCGTTTAAATAGATACGTATGCTTTAAATAATTGGGAAAACTTTTATGAATATGCAAATGGCATGTTATATTTACACGGGGCCCAAGACAAAATTTAATTAATTCAAATAAATCATCATGCTTGAAATTAAGTTGTTTTTTTTTTTGGTTTTTTTTATAGTTATCGCTTAACAAGTTAGGAATAAAAAATGCATTACTTTGGTCAGAGCCCTAGGTAGACAACATTTTTACCTATAAAATAACGCACCACTGGAATATGCATAATATATTGCTACAGTTCTGCAATAGCTAATTTACCGCTTTAATTCTTTTATAAATTCCTGATCGAAATTTTCATCCCATCCGCAATCAAGTAATATTCTTAATTCATCAACTTGCAATATGTAGCAAGGAGGCGACTCGTCCATAGCCCCAGAAACAGCATGAAGTTTTATAATAGACGTCATTGTTTCGAATTATTTTTCTTACTTATAATATGTAGAAATAGCAGATAAACACCTAAAAAGATATTTATTTGAAATGTACATTTCTAATTACCGAAGGAATATTATCGATAAATAAACGTTTCATTATGATGCGTTCCTAATTTAACCTACAGGGCAATGTAATAAATTACATGTAAAAATATTTGTAGTTGTGCTATAAAATGACCCGAAACGCTTCCAAACGAATTATTATCATAACATTTAGTATGCATTAAAATTGATTTTGCTTTGAAATAATTGACGATAAATCATTTTAAAATGTTTTCTTTAATTTAGAAAATAAACGGTCAATGAACGGTACAGTAAAGTACTAGCTAATGTCACGGCGTTTCGCGGTATAAACTTTATACTGTAAAGAGAGTATGGTACAGTAATGCCAGATTGAGTGTTGCATAAATTTTTACGAAAAATGTATTTCATAACAATATATTTACAACACGTATGAAATTACGAAAGAATGTGTTGAGAAAAATCAGAGAAACGAAGGTGCTAAGCTATTCTATCTATTCCAAGTAAATGCAATATACATACGTATATTGTTATAAAACATTTAAAATGCTAAAATAATTTTCAGCGATTCTTATGTATTTTTTAATATAGAATATTAATACATATCTATAGATATCTGTAGATTTTGTTGAAATTTGCCTACATACAGTGATGCCAGAAAAGCACCGTCGGGTGCACACTCACACATGCTAGATACGCGTACGTGAGCTCGTGGAGTTTCGGAAAGACGACAAAGGCAAACTGACGCATGCCCTCTTTCTCGATTCTCCCACTTCCTCTTTCTCCCACACAACTGAAATCCGACCTCCAGTCAACGGCATACGATTTGGATTCTCGACTGCCCAGGCATTTTTACTTTCCGACCTATGTAGGCGCACATAAGCAAAGTATCCATAATGAAAAAAAAATTTTGTAAAATTTATTTTACGGAAATACACGTTTTAAGACCTCCTGATCATATTTTAATTATTGAAAAAAAAGAAATTTTTTTTTTATTCCCATGTATGAGCGCACATATGTATATTATTAATACGATTTTTGAAAATAAATAAAGTAAAACTTATCTCATTGAAATTTATTTTCTAGAAGTTGAGCTGATGAATACCTAGAAAAAAGTATTAGACAACATTTAATTTTGATTTAGATTAAAAATCAAATTTATATTGTTTTAAATTCGCAGCCATTAGCTCGGTGTTACCCATAATGAAGAAGTTGTTCTTCAAAGGTAACACCGATTACCAGGTCTCACCACGAGGAGGTTGCTGCGAGTGGAGACCCAAAGTGAGATCGATGGAACAAAGTTCGATCGACCTTCCTTTTTACACACTTAGATTACGCAAAAAAAAAGATGCCAAGTAATTACTGTTCTAAAACAAAGGAGGAAGCTAAATTATGGGAGACGCGACACGACGAAACGCGACACAATACTGCACAGTGCAGTAGGAATATGAGGTGCGACACGTACCGAATAGCGGGTCAAAAGGGGCAGCTCGTTGCCTCTCAGCGAGTCCAATTGAAGGGGAGGAGAATCGACGCACCAGACACGGGTTCTCCATTTCTCCCACGCATCCTGCTGGGAGCCCGTAGGACCCAACCCGGGACGTCTGACACAGGAGAGAGATCCTGAGTCGGGGCTACCGCAGACAGGAACAGGTCCCCTCTACGGCCGATGACTCTTTCCCTAGAATTGTCTCACCAGAGGACGGCAACCGACCCTTCGAACCATCTAAACGGCCGATCACTTGCTTTCTACATTAAAGCAGCGGTGACCGGAGAAACGAGACTGGAAAAGAAGCTATTAATTCATTCATTACTTGGCAATCTACGCAGTAAATAAAATAATATACAATGTAAATTGAAAATTAACGTCGTAGGTGGAATTGAGAATTAATGTGAATTAATGAAACATAGGAAATCTGGGAAAAAGAAACAAGGAAAAAGAAAAATTCGACGTTAATTTTTACATTCGCGCCGCGCCTTAAAATTAATCGCTTACGTTTAACGATGAATCCGACGTCATCTGTTGGCGATCTAGAAATTGACCTGCATAAAAACTAACGTAAAAATTAATAGGTACATATTAATAATACATGTACACAAATATAACCTAAATAACAAATCGAAATCAAAACCAAAACATAATAGGAATTGACCAACCCAACGCAGTAAGATAAAGAAACGAATTAATAGAAAAAAAACAAACCAACGATGTGCAATAATAGATTAATTTGGAAAAGAACAACCCATCGAAGCGTAAGACGAATAACAGAAAAATTGGAAAAATATCAACCCAACGATGTATAGATAAAACCTGAAAGGAAAATAATTGAATAAATTAGTGGAAGGAACAACCCAAATATGTACAACAATACCTATATACCTATATACATAAAAAGGAAGAAAAACACAATACATGGATTAGTTATATTAATATTAGTTACGTGTATACCAAACGGTGATCCATTCCTTCCTGGTCACCATCGCAGAAGATATCTGAAACAGAAAAAAAAAACGCGTGACAGCACCCCCGGCGGTTCCAGGAGTACTGAAAAGAGTTGCCCAGCTGTGTCCACTTTTATGCAGTCAAGCCAAAGAATCAACGAGCCAATCAGCAGCCAGTCCGCTGGGGGCGACCATCGTCCGTGCTCCTTGAAACGTTATAAGAGCCTCCTGAGGTCCTCGCGCGGGAGTTATCTCCCAACCATCAAGCAAGACGGACCGCATCGAGATGAAGAATTTAATTGAAGATTTACATTCAATCAAAATCGAGGATGGCGAAAGGAGATGGTTCACGAGCAGCGGCCAAAGGACAAACCGGTCTTTTTAAAGACCAAGAAAATCTCATTTGTGGGAACCGCTAAACTGAACAACTTTTATATTTAACAACTTAGAGACTTTTTAGATCTCTGTTTTGGAACAACTTTTATATTTAACAACTCAGAGACACTTTACATCTCTGTTATGGAACAACTTATGCAATAAAACTGAACATGGTATATTTGCCTAAATAGGCGAAAAATATACAAATACAAATTGAATTTATTGAATTGATATTAAGTAAACATTCTTTGCTATAAAATCAAAAAATTATTATTTGAAATAGTAGAACAATTAGAAAATAAATAGTTTGAAAATAATTTCGAAAGTCTTACTTGATAAACTATATTCAAACGATTTATTTCCAAAGTATTGTTTCATGTCAAACATGATCAGGGGGTCTTGAAACGTGTATTTATGTGTCAATTTTTCATTCAATATGGGCTTTGCTTATATATTTGTGTCTATATAACTTGAATTTAAATTCAAATGGTAATGAAAAATCAATGACGCATGTTTGTACATTATTTTTTAATCCTGGACTCGTTAATAGTACTTCTCTAAGATTAGATAGGGACAGTAATGGGGAAGAAAATTTAGTGTCAGTGCCTTCTAGTTCGTAACATTTAAGCTTTTTATTCTAATCTCTAATCATGTATTTCATGAAACCTCTCCTTCTATTCATTCCTGATTGCAGAAATGCATATATAACTCTAATAATTTTTAAACTTATTACATTGCTCAATGGATAGGAATAATTCTCTATTTGTACAGGACAAATATATAAACGTCGAACCAACAAGTCCATAAAATATGCAGGATAATTGCCCATAAGAAATTCATCTACAAACAAATTAGGTACATTAGCTAGTGCATTATTGGTAGCAGATTCTGACCCCTTTAAGCATGTCTAATATTTCAACTTCGTTTTCTTCCTCTTCTTCTTCTTCTTCGGATGATTCAAAGTCTCCATTTTTATCAGTTTCTTCCATGTACATTAGACTATTAACATCTCCATCAAATTTAAAAATTCTGTTTATGGAATGTGTTGTGGCACGAGCTGCATATTCCTGTAAAAACCCCAATGGAACAAGTATTTCTGTAGATGCATTTGTATAGCCATTTATATTAATTTCTATTATGCTTAATATTTATTGTCTTGTGGTTTTAGGTGATCTACATAGTATTGCAATGACTGCTTTGTCCAAGGTGTAAAATCCGCTCAACCATTGTAAAGTTGCTTCTATACAATACTGTCGATTACTATACCTTTTTCTTGTTATTCGTCGTAACTTTAAATAACCAAAGAAGTTTCTAAATGTACCAAGTTTTACATAATCATTGCCTAGTAATATTGCAGCTAATGGCAGTGTAGATTTACTTAAACCTCTATAAGAATTTAATAAGTGTTCAACTTTATAAATTTTACAACGTTTCGTGTAACCATTTCCAGTTGAACTTTTCACCGTGTAACTGTCCAATGTATCAAATGGTATGTACAATGTCCCAAACACATACAAATCTGAATCATAACTCGATACAGGACAATTCAATATCCTTGCTACAGTAGCTATAGCATTATCAGCTTCGAATAAGCATTGCACATGACGAACATTCTTCTTTCTCGTAACATCGTTGAAAACTTCCTAAATATGTAAAGGACAAAAATTTCATTTTCTGTTGACAGATCGGAGAATAAGATGATGCTGTACGAACCTTTTCTCTAGTTCTAGATATAACTGTTTGCAGTTTCTTATCCTCGCAACCACCATCGATCAAAACTAATGGTACAGCATTGCACTTTAACAAATCGTCAAAAAAATCCGATACTCGTTGAGCGTATTTATCGTAATCACCCCCAAAAACACAATTGCACTTGTACGAATTATATATTTGACAGCTAAATAACTAAATACATATCACGTAGCTCGAAATATTCCAAATAACCCTGAACGATTGTTTATGAAAGTTGTTAAACCTGGAATACCTATTTTGAAACCTATTTATTAATTTACACTTTTCTTAATGTTTCATATCACAAACTAAGTTCGTTATGCGTATATCAATATTAGTTATTATGCATTTATACATAGGTTGCATGTAACAGGTGCTTACACAAATTTTGTGTCTTTCGTTGTTTTATTTGAATCAAAAGTTTGTTAAATATTATACTTTGACTACTTGAATAAATCAAAGAAATACAAGAGCTGTACATAATGTTTTTGCATTGATCTTTACGATATTACAAACCGGTATAATAAAAAATAAAATTAGATAGTATACTGATCTTGCATAATTAAGTGCATTGACGGGCGACAATACTAACGACGAATTTCCTTCCTATATGTATAGGCAAATATACCATGTTCAGTTTTATCGCATAACTTGTTCCATAACAGAGATGTAAAGTGTCTCTGAGTTGTTAAATATAAAAGTTGTTACAAAACAGAGATGTAAAGTGTCTCTGAGTTGTTAAATATAAAAGTTGTTACAAAACAGTGATGTAAAGTGTCTCTGAATTGTTAAATATAAAAGTTGTTACAAAACAGTGATGTAAAGTGTCTCTGAATTGTTAAATATAAAAGTTGTTACAAAACAGAGATGTAAAGTGTCTCTGAGTTTGTTAAATATAAAAGTTGTTCAGTTCATTGCATAAGTTGTTCCCACAAGTGAGATTTTCTTGGTCTTTAAAAAGACCGGTTTTGTCCCTTGGCCGCCATCTTCGATTTTGATCGAATGTAAGTCTTCAATTAAATTCTTCATCTCGATACGGTCCGTCTTGCTTGGTGGTTGGGAGATAACTCCCCCGCGCGGGCCTCAGGGGGGTCTCTTATAAACTTAGGTGAAGCAAGTGTCGCTCTATCGGAGTGTCGCCCCCAGCGGACTGGCTGCTGATTGGCTCGTTGATTCTTTGGCTTGACTGCATAAAAGTGGACACAGCTGGGCAAATTTTTTCAGTACTCCTGGAGCCGCCGGGGGTACTGTCACGCGTTTTTTTTTCTGTTTCAGATATCTTCTGCGATGCTGACCAGGAAGGAAGGATCACCCTTTGGTTTTGGTATAGATACAATTAATATTAATATAACTAATGAAAATATTGTGTTTTTCTGCATTTTTATGTATTTAGGTATTTTCATATTTGGGTTCTTCGTTCATCTAGTTTTATCTATATTCATTACATCGTTGGGTTGATATTTTTCAATTTATTCTATTCTATCTTCGTCTCGCTTTCATCGTTGGTTTGTTCTTTTACGATTTATTTTGTTATTCGTCTTGCGCTTCGTTGGTTTTTTAATTTTCAAAATTAATCTATAATTCAAAGTACACATCGTTGGTTTCTTTTTTTTCGAATGATTCGTTTCGTTAATTTACTTCGTTGGATTGTTCCAATTCCTTATTTCAAACTAATTTGTTATTTAGGTTTTATTATTTGTCTACATGTACACATAACTACTAATTTTTATTTCAGTTTTTTACCAGATCAATTTCTAGGAGGAGGAGGAGATCAATAGATGACGTCGGATTCATCGGGATTTACACGTAAGCGATTAATTTTAAGGCGCAGCGCGAATGTAAAAATTAACGTCGAATTTTTCTCTTTCCTTCTTTTCCTTGTTTTTCCGATGTTTCCTATATTTCATTAATTCACATTAATTCACATTAATTCTCAATTCCACCTACGACGTTAATTTTCAATTTACATTGTATATTATTTTATTTACTGCGTAGATTGCCAAGTAATGAATGAATTAATAGCTTCTTTTCCAGTCTCGTTTCTCCGGTCACCGCTGCTTTAATGTAGAAAGCAAGTGATCGGCCGTTTAGATGGTTCGAAGGGTCGGTTGCCGTCCTCTGGTGAGACAATTCTAGGGAAAGAGTCATCGGCCGTAGAGGGGACCTGTTCCTGTCTGCGGTAGCCCCGACTCAGGATCTCTCTCCTGTGTCAGACGTCCCGGGTTGGGTCCTACGGGCTCCCAGCAGGATGCGTGGGAGAAATGGAGAACCCGTGTCTGGTGCGTCGATTCTCCTCCCCTTCAATTGGACTCGCTGAGAGGCAACGAGCTGCCCCTTTTGACCCGCTATTCGGTACGTGTCGCACCTCATATTCCTACTGCACTGTGCAGTATTGTGTCGCGTTTCGTCGTGTCGCGTCTCCCATAATTTAGCTTCCTCCTTTGTTTTAGAACAGTAATTACTTGGCATCTTTTTTTTTGCGTAATCTAGTTTCTAAGTGTGTAAAAAGGAAGGTCGATCGAACTTTGTTCCATCGATCTCACTTTGGGTCTCCACTCGCAGCAACCTCCTCGTGGTGAGACCTGGTAATCGGTGTTACCTTTGAAGAACAACTTCTTCATTATGGGTAACACCGAGCTAATGGCTGCGAATTTAAAACAATATAAATTTGATTTTTAATCTAAATCAAAATTAAATGTTGTCCAATACTTTTTTCTAGGTATTCATCAGCTCAACTTCTAGAAATAATTTCAATGAGATAAGTTTTACTTTATTTATTTTCAAAAATCGTATTAATAATATACATATGTGCGCTCATACATGGGAATAAAAAAAAAATTTCTTTTTTTTCAATAATTAAAATATGATCAGGAGGTCTTAAAACGTGTATTTCCGTAAAATAAATTTTACAAAATTTTTTTTTCATTATGGATACTTTGCTTATGTGCGCCTACATAGGTCGGAAAGTAAAAATGCCTGGGCAGTCGAGAATCCAAATCGTACGCCGTTGACTGGAGGTCGGATTTCAGTTGTGTGGGAGAAAGAGGAAGTGGGAGAATCGAGAAAGAGGGCATGCGTCAGTTTGCCTTTGTCGTCTTTCCGAAACTCCACGAGCTCACGTACGCGTATCTAGCATGTGTGAGTGTGCACCCGACGGTGCTTTTCTGGCATCACTGCCTACATACATACATATGCATATGGACATATGGTATCTTCGACTTCCCCGCCCCCTTGTCTCGTAACGGGATTTTTCCAAGACGATTGCTGCCACGGTGCAGCTATGATATACATTTATGTACGTAAACGAAGATTTAAGTTTGTTTTTTCCATAATTCAACAATTACTCATCGAATTAGATGGAAATTTTGTATAAGACTGGGCTGGCCGTGTGCTGGCACGAATAAATATGAAAGTGAGAATACGCGATAAAAACGGTATCATGCGTGGAGTGGCGGGAGAATGCAAGTAAATATCAGATCAGCTGATGAGTGACAACAGACAGACGAAGGCCTATTGTTCTTGTTCTTGGTTATGGCGACAAGCAGTTCTGATGGGTCCTGTACAGCACCTGCAGATTTTCAGCTTTCGTCAGAGCTGGAAGACGTTTCGAACCGTTTAAGCGTTACTTTATTAAAGTGTCCACTGTGCCATAATAGTCGTCGAATTTTTTACTGTCGACAGTGTATTCAAAATGGTGATTTTATTCATTCAACTTCTGTTTATTCCGAACGGTAAATATATCCTGACAATTGTTCGTTTCCGTGTTTTCCTTGTTATGTTGAGATTCTGTCCGGTATCCGTACATTTCTCAGATATTTCACTCAAACGACGGGTACAAGTCGATTTCTATTTTCGTTAACACGCAATAAAAATTTCTCGGAATGTTTAATAATGTTTCGATTAAATTTGGACAGATTTGCAGATAAACAATTGCGACTTTTACGGCTGAAAGCTGCAAGAGCTCAGCTGGAAGAAAAATGTGTAAAGGCTCTTGAAAAACACAAACAACGGGATAAATTGGTATTTTATAATAATTCGTATATATCGCTATGCCATTGGTAACAACGTTCGCATATAGTTATTATATTTATAATTGTTGATATTTGCAGATATGTGATATAAATACTTGTAAAGAAAGAGTAAGGCTACTCCAATCGTTAGTGAATGAAACCAGACAAAGTATAAACAGAGGTATATCTTGTTTTCAATATAATTCTATAATATAAAAGGTATTATTATAGAATAGAATTTTATTAACGTACAGGTAATCAACGTTTAAATGTTCTGAAAGATGTAAACTCTCAGTTAGCTCTTAGATTACCTAGACACGAAGAAAGAGTAGAAAAATTACATCGATATGTTACCGGTTTGAGAGCAAAGCAAGAGAAACAAAAGGAAGCGGTAGATAGAAAAAGGCAACAGTTGAAAAAAGTGATCAGAACTGCTGCAAAACAATTGATACAATATATTTTTCCTTTATCTAAAGTTCAATCTAGCAGAAGGTAATAAATTTTTGTTACAAGTAGTAATCGGAGTAAAAAAATTATCAATTGTTTCTAGTTTATGTAGCAGCGAGGAAGGTACTAGTTCAGATATTGTAACTTGTGCATTGGCAGATGCATCTGGAACCTCGTACGTTAGAGGGAGATGGATTAACGATACCGAAAATGCTTCGGAAATTCAACACCGTATAGTTGCTCCTACTTTGCCAGGAACTGGTGATTATAGGGCTTATTCTCTATGGGGTATACATCGCATTATGTTTTTCGTTTTATATTATGTATCGTAAATGATTTTTTTAAACAATTAATTTACTATTTTAGTGGCAGCAAACAAAGACGGAGTGCCAGGTGCAAATAAAGAAAATGCGATGCACAATCCGGCATACAATATCAGTGCTGCTTTAACTTATGCTACACAATTGGTTAATATTATTGCCTATTATGTTAATGTAAGACTACCATATAAACTTGCTTATGGGTATGTGACAAATATTTCATTTTTTATTTGCAAATACTTGCATTAAATATTGAGAATTTTTCATGCTTAAGATCATTGTTTGCTCATTTATAAATGAAATAGAGAATGAAAAGACTAGCTTGAAAATTTCACTTTCTCTTATATGTAGATTTCAAGTAACCTATCGCGTTTACGTATCGTTCGTTCTCCGTTTCTATAAATGACAATTTTCAGTGAATTCTGTGCGAACGAGATGTCGGATCAAAAATTTGCGAGAAAAGTGGCAAGGCTCAATAATAACGTGTTACATTTATGTTTCACACAAAATACCAACATCGCGGTTTTACATCCAATGCATACTTTACAAAATCTAATGCACTTGCTCAATACTGAAATCAGTGATCTTGGAAGGTGTGTATCGGTTGTATTTAATCAATATGTTAATCGATTATAATTCTTTCTATAATTAATTATCTATTTTTAAATATAGAATTGGTCCAATGGAAGTTGATTCAAATATTGTAGCACAATTGCATAGTCAATTACTTCCAGATTTAGAAAATAGCGACGACTCTGCTTCCGACGAGGAGGAAGATGCTTTTAATTGGGAATGGGAAGCTGTAAGATCTTGTCACTTGCTAAAAAATAATGCGGTGTTCGACGACCCGTGTGGGGCCATATAATATTTCATAAAAATTTTTCTTTCAGGTACCGAATGTTGCATGCCCTGAAATGGCAGTTCCCATCCCTGGTGCAATAATTAGTCAGCAATCGTCAAGTATGCAAGTGAATCAGAGTGTTGCTGGTGGTTTGGTAACAAGTGCAGCGGCAAGCATAGCTTCCATCTGGCGTGGATGGACGACTAACAAATAGACTGTACCATTTTACTAGCTAACTTCTTTTTATACAAATTGTAACAGCATATGTAGAGAACACATATGTATCAAAAGACACAAACATTGACGATGCTTTAAAACATGCAAAGAAAACAGTGTGTCGAGGGAAGTGGGTGTTCATGTACTGTAAATATATTGTATATGTATGAATTCATTAATTCATGTATGACACGTGAAATAGTTCGATTCAGTTATGAAAGGTTTCGTGAGATCTGATAATTAGTTATTTTAAACCATTTATGTAATATATTGATTTGTATTGTTACTTGCAATATAATTCCAAACACCGAGTACACTTGTGATAGAGATAAAGGTCATAATTCTTTGGTACAAATTTTTCAGTGTACAATATAATACGCTACATTTTCATTATTTACTTGTGAATAGAATTCATTAATAAGATATACGTGAGTTTAAAATGACTGCCTTTTTTACGCTCACCACACTTTGTGTGATTATGTGTCTGTTGACGACGTACACATAATAATATGCTTTGCGTCAGAGATGTCATCGCTACCGTTGCAATCTGTTGTCCATGTACTTTCAACTTATCAGCAGTTTTTACATAAAGTTCCAAATTTCATGTTATTTTGTTCCCCTGCAAGATATGCAATCAGACAAATCAAGTAATAAGCTTGCTACTTAAAGACTACTTATCTTAATGTATTTCACGAGCGTTGCAATGTTTTTTTTTTTTTCTTTTCTTTTATCTGAGAACGATATTTTAACAAAAATTATTCTTGTGTAGGCATACCATATTTCATGTATATTTTTGGTCATATATTATAGAAATAAGACAAGACCTGTTAAACACTTCATACCTGACAAAATACAACATGAATGTAAGGGAGATTTTATTATGTTAATCAGTTTCGATTATATTTAATTAAATTTAATAGTAATATGTATGACATCAAAATGAATTTTGTATTTGAAATGTTGTTAAAGTCATGTTATGTAGATTGAATAAGGGATAGTATGTATGTACATATATTACTATCAGAGCACGAATGCATTAATATAATGTACTTGCATCAGAAAATAATTATTTTTTAGGGGGAAAAACGTGATATGTAATTTCTGCAGAGAACGGAATTTTTCTAATCGTATATTTCATTTAGTTAATTCGTGATAATACAAAGTGTTTGGTACGTATGTATTATATGTAGGAATGAAGTGTTCTTTATTTTACCAATTACACATTTTGTTTGTAATTCACGTACCTATTAGAAAAGAGTTGGTTAAATTTTTGCGCACGTAATAAATGTTAATCTTCGATTCCACGTAATCGCGTAATAGAAAACGGATATCATAATTCGTTGATAGTTAAATGTAACATAATTACGATGACAATTTACTCGCAAGTACAGTAATACAATTTATTTGACTAATATTCTTCCTCTTGCGTACGAGACATCACAAAGAATATTTATCGAATTAAATTATTCCTTGTAATCGTTAAGGTAAGATTACAATGAAACATAAAATTATCTCCTGTGCAAATAAACAAAATTACGTATAGTTACATTTCATTAGGTAACTTTACACATGTCCGATTTTTTGAAAAATATAGCGTTTTATAAATTATATTGTACGGACAAACTAATTTTATGGAATGATAATTAAATTATAGTACATGATGTTAAATATAAATTGAAAATTTCTATGCAAACCAGCACAAATTTGTAAATATTATTTAATAGGTATATTTTGATGCAATTGCCGTTAATCGTAACATTAAGGAAATTCAATAACACATTAGACTTAATGTGCTTTAGAAAAAGTAAAAACTGCAAACCTAGTTCTTAACATTTAATTTGAATAACACTTACGAAAGTGCATACAAAATATTTTTAGTTAGAATAGTAAGTAATTGTAAATATAAATTAACATATACAGTTTATATATTATGTAAAATGGCTATGTTTTACCTAAACAAAGTTTCATTGTGATATCTTGAATAAATTAGAATCTGTTTTTTACCAATCGATTTACATCTTTTAATTTAAGCGTTGTAAAGTAATTTTGAATTCGAGGACTATGTCTCGTGATATGTTTCGTAATTTAATGCAATGAAAATATTCAAGTACAGTATTGTTTTGTTCTTTTCAATACTGTTAATAACATCGAAATAGCGTTTCGTGTAACATTCTAAATTTAAACTTGTACAGGTTTAAATTCTATGTATGTATAAATGGCGAGGACACAACAAGATATATTTGATAAATATTTATTGAGTAGAAGGGTAATAACATACAACATTAACTATATATTCAAAGTAAAAACCTATAATATATTGCTATAGAGAACTTGATCAGATTTTTTACCCTCACTTAGAAATAAAATGTTTTGTACAATAAATTTTGTTATTAAATTTAATATTACGCTGCAATACGATTTTTAGGGTTGTTTAACCAGAAATTAAATATGCCTGTAACATCATTCAATTACCATTCCATATAGTCTCTGTTCATGTAGCACTCCTCTGAAGTTCTTGTTGGTTGGTATCTCAGTTTCATGACTTTTGGATCGGCCAGTTTATTGTATACCACATGTATCAAATTGTATACATATTGTGTACACTAACTGGTTTGTGACTTCTGTAAGCATATCATCATATAGTATTTTAATTTTGCATACATATATTTCTACACATAGAATTTACAATAAAACACTTATTATTAAAAGACAGCGTTTCTTTTTAGTATTCCTACACAAGGACAGAATATTATTTGTACTACATTATCATCACAAAAATGTAAGATGGTTATTAATCCTAAAATAAAAATAAAACGATCGTTTAATATTGTATCCTTAGTATATTCATTATGACCTAAAGAATACGTTTTAACGCTAAGATATGTAACAAATGTTTAATACTAGACACGTATAGCATAGTGAATCAACTATCGGTGCCATCGATTAAAAATATAAAATGTATTACATACTTACACTATTGATACATTAAATATCAATACAGTTGGTTATCTTGAAGTATTAAAAAATATGCCAAGGACCACGAATACGACATAAATATTGTAGTGCGTTCTATTAAATTATACCTTATTTTTCCTATCTAAATTAACACTAGCATATATGTATTGAAATAATTAAGTCTAACTTAAGATCTAGCCACAAAAAGCACATTCGTTTAATCTTTCTCGGCAAACTACAAATTTATGTCTCGACTATTATATTTTGACACTTATTTACTAGCATTAGTTACTTGAATAATATTAAATTCTCCTTATCCAATATTTATTTAATATTATGGAAATGTTATACATTAATTAAATAACATTTTGAAATTATAGTATCAACAAAAGTATATATTTATATGTATATTTAAAATATTCGAAAAACTTCGAAAATCGCACTTTTACTGCTAAACATAGAAATTAGTCATTACAACGTTTTACGATGCGAAAAAAATAAAATAAAAAAAATGGAATGAACAAAGTAGCAATATGCAATTAACAATAACAATATTGTTTCGAGTAATAAGTAAAGAATCTGTCTAGTTTTGTTAGCAAACATTCCAAACAATATTCTTCCGTAATAAAGAAGACGAAATTATTAAAGAATAATCGCAGCAATTAATAAAATTATAAACAACTGCACTCCGATCCAGATTATATCTGTGAAAAAAGTGTAAAATATAGAAAAAGAACGAGTATTAAAAACTATAGAAAAGAAAAAATGTGTTATTTATTTAAGAATTTATAACAAATTTTGCAAGATAATAAAATCAAAATCTCGCAAATCACACACGCTTCCTTATCAAAATGACAATTACACCCATCAAATATGTTTTTAATTACGTATATTATGTACAATAACATAGATAAATAACTTTATGTAAATAAATCTATGCATAATAGTAATATGTGTAAAGTTATTTCTTCTCTTATGCTGGATTCAATACATAAGAATTTTCGATATAATGTATGCAATCATCCCAGGACCTTAACTGTTTCTTCAATCTATTTGCATATTTCGGAAATATTTATTTATTAATTATAAACTATATATGTATATGTATATATTCATATATACTTATAGATAATGTATGTATAGGTACACGTAATATCAAATAAATATCGAGATAATATTTTTATAATATTCCAATGAAAAATAAAACGATCGTTACATTACCGAAATATGACATGTTAAATTAATTAATTTAAATAGACAGTTAAGACCTTATGACATGTTTCCAGTCAAAATAGATAATAATTTTACACGCAATATCAACCATGTCACATTTTAAAATTGTTTTGTGATTGATTATGTATTACAATATAAAAATTAAACAAATATATGTATTAGTAGAGAAAAATGAGGAAAGGATTTACTTTATTTATATACACAAATATATGTATGTGAATAGTGAAAGTGAATTTTCCCTTAAGAAAAGAAAGAACTCGTACAATATTTAAGATTTCTCCATTTCTAATAATGAAATACATCATTCTGAATACATCATTGATTTACAGAAAGATCATAGGCAGGTGACAGGGTTAAAATAAGCAAAGCAAATATTGTTCCGTATGTATTAAGATATCATCAAATGTACACATTAAAATAGCAGGCCAAACGCTTTATTTTTCTAATTGTATTTTCTTATCTTGCAAAAAAAAAGTTAAACGTATTTAATTTAGCCGTTTGCACTCGGAAAATTTTTATTAATACGAACGACCGGAAACTGTCGATGCAATTTTATGGCGTGACATCTAAAAATAAAGTAATATTCTTTTTTTCCCCACAAAAATTTATGAACATCTACAATTTAAATTTTATTCGTATGTTTCGTAAATTAAATTTGTGTTATCGGGAAAGAAAATTTAATTCAGTTATGGTACGTACGTATCATGTATGTCGTCGTAATGGCGCCAATAGAGTGCAAACGATTAATATGTGTAAGTATATTGAAACAATAACAGTTATTTTTGAGATCAGTGGTTTGTACAGTTCAACTGGAACTGTAGGAACTGCAGGACTTAAGTATTCTTGAAATGTAATCTAATGAATGAAACGGAGGTATGAAGGATTATGCCACGATATTAAAGAAATACTCATTCCTTGAACAAATATTGGAAATATTTCTCTGATCGTGAAATCATAATGTAAGCACGTTCCGGAGAAATCTCGAGAAAATAAAATAAAATAAAATAAAATTCAAAAAACACCAAACTATGTACAAAAGAAAATAAAAGACTACTACTTTTTCGATTTTATAGATGCATGTATTTGACATTAACTCATAGTCCTATTCTGTATAAATTATTTCAACTACGAAATATAATAAATATAAATTCCTTCTTTCTTGACAGTGAGTAGGAGACTGTACGTGTCAACGATGTTTTCGAAATTTTGTCAACTGAAAAATTTAGTAGAAATTATAATTAATACAGAACAAAACTATAAGTAAAAAATTGTATAATTAGAAAGTAGTAGAAGCCCATGTTAAAAATGCACTTTGGATTTATTATCACGACTGTGGTCATTGCTACTATTCTCATTAATATTATTTTATTACTTTTGTTATTACTAACATTTCGAACTGTATATGTAAATTATAGATTGGTAGTAAACTTTTAGTTGCATATATGAAGATAAAATAGTTTACTTCTTAATTGAAAGTACACAGGTATCTCGTTTATAATAAAGTTGTAAAACATGGACTTGAAACTTGATTTTTAAACCTATTTTAATAGTATGAATATAATGAATAGACAAGATACGATAATTCAATTACTATTCGTTTAAGTAAAGAAAATTTTAGTTGTATTCCTTTTAAATAAAGAAAGTTGTATATTTTCGGTATATCATGATAGGTGGTTTACAATGACTAAAGTCACGCAAAAGTGTACACACGAAAATTTCTATCCGAGTAAAACCTGTAAAGTAAACGGTTTTCGAATATCAATAAAATATATTACTATCATTATACACTCCATAATTCGTTCTTAGTAAAAATAGAGGAGACAACTCTATTTACTTTAATATATTACTTTTAAACGATAATAATGGTTAACTTCGGTTAATTTCAAAACTCTTTTTGTAACCAGAAACGGTAATATATGTATACTTTGGTGTATGTATGCTAGATTTTTATGTTTGAGAATGGCCTTGGCATGTATATGTAGTTTCCATGTTACGTTACACGGGTAGGAAATTTTTGGGAGGGTACAAAATCAGTCACATGAAAACAGAAAAGGATAAATATATGATTACCTGGTAAATGTTGTTTCATTAACTGGTTAAGTCTATATTTGCAAAAATTAATAATATACTATTCTAATATCATATTTTCTCAAACATATACAATACTTACTTGTTCTTTATTACATATAATGTGTGCTGATCATTGAAAACTGTGTTTTGGTGACTTTTTCTATGCCTTTTCTTCACATAATTTACATATAATTTTTATGTAAACTGTTTTTTAATGGTACATTGTTATCATTTAATTACAAGATTTCAGGCTCGATGACATTTATTAATTAAATAACTTTGCCTCAAAAACAATTATTCCGATAATTGAAATACAAATAATTTAATGTGAAATACAATTTTACCTTAAGAAACTAAAATTAAGGCCTCCTTATTACGTTCCTGCTACTTGATTTGAAAAATGATTTAAATAAAATATTGATACACAGTTTTCTCAACACAACTTTTATGTATATACACAGTAATCGTATTTCTAAAACTAAACGATCAGTTTTCCTACTCTTCTTGTGTATGAAAGAACTTGAAGATCAAAATATAGAACAAACAGTTATACGACTATTCTTCAAACTTATTACAAAGGAAGAGCACGAAAAACTGACCTACGAAGTAAATATTCTGAGCGCAAGTTCTCTAGAGCTACAAAAATATATAATTATATATAGTAATATTATGCATTTTTTATCAACATTGCAAGAGGATATGATATAAATACTCTACCAAGTGTTAATTTTCATGAAAATCTAGATCCGTGAAATAACTTTTAAATAAATATAATTTTGTAAATTATTACTTAACTACATTGAAAAATACATTTGTTTCATCTGTTTTGATACAAATTTAATACAAATCGAAGAGAGAATATACAATTTTATTAATCTCAAGGCAAATTAAAATTAAAGAAACATTTTTTTAATAAAGAGTTTAAATCAATTTTTCACATCATCTAGTTTCTCATAGAATATAATATAGTATATCTGCACTTATTCTCAGTAGAATACCTTCAAATCCTCTGCTTATAATAACTGTAATATAAACATTTTTCACTCCTTGAATGAAGAATTTATAAAATCCAACAATAGATAGTGATAATTATGAAAACCACCAATATCGATTGTGATTGGAACCAGCTGCAGGATGTATTATGAGTTTATTTTGCATTCTTTTAAATTATGCATAGAAACATATTGAGAAATATTCCTCTATGCCTATATGTTGTAGAATATCAATATTTTTCAACTTATCAGCTTCATAATACCCTTCTGGGAAAGAAAAAATAAAAAACATAGATTTTTCTTTACCTACACATATTTCGAATTATTTGTGTTACTTGTACTGTAAACTAAATGTATTTATTAACCGATAACAAAAACTAATGTTTCATAATAATAATAATAATAATTAATAATAATAATTAAGTGTTATGAAAGTGATTATTATAAAATTTTAAAAACATTTTTGTTGCAACTTGATTTTATCGAATAATTCTGTATTTCAAGACATTTTCCCTCAATTATATATATATATATATATATTTTATCTTCTAATAAATAATCCCCGAAATAAAATAAATATCTTATATTGTTATTGAACATACAAATTCAATTAGAAATTTAGGAAATGAACTGTGTACATTATTATTTCTGACTGGATGTGTGTGTGTGTGTGTGTGTATAATATTTTATGATTTTTAAATGTATTTTTAAAACTCTAATTTATTTTTGCCAACAATATCGTACTGCCAGAGTTTATGATCTGCACATGTTTAATGCAGCAGATTTATTTTAGGTAAGACTTAGTTTATAATATACCAGTGTACTTTTCTTACAATTTTAAAACGAATCTTTTTACACCGGGAGGGATCATTAAAATAAAGATATTTCGGATAGCATCTGCATCGTTATATGGTTATGGAACATGTCTAATGATTATAGTTGTACACTTGATGCAGTATAGGAAAAGATCAAGGGTTAGTTATATCGAAGTGAAATCGTATCCAAGACTTACACTATCCGCTCGGCTGGGACAAACTTCTCGAAACACTTGTTCAATGAAAGGTTGTCTGGAAAAAAACAAATAATAAATATGTAAATTAATATTTAAAATTACAAAAATATTAAGAATTTAAAAGTATCCTTCTCATAAAAGTTTTGAGAAATATTCGATTTTGAAAAGACAAATTTTAGAAAAGGAACTTGATTTCTGGAATTATGCCAATTATAAATATACTAAACCTATCCGAATTTTAATAATTGAAAGAAAAATATGCTCAGGTTTTTTTTTAATTTAAACTTTAGCGAATTAATAAATATACATACTTAGCCGGAAGACCACCACCAGGGGGCAAATTAGGAAAGTGTTGGTCCCCAAGAAGTTGTAGTAGCTTCAAAAAGTCGAATTCATTTGTATGCTCTTGTGCATCAACTACTATTTCTAAAAATATAATAAAAGCAATTATGATTTATGAATTAGTTATGAACATAGTTAAAAATATTATATATATATATATACACATATACATACATACATACATACATACATACATATATATATATATATATATATATACATATATTATATAATCAAATTATTTATAAAAATTTTCTATTATTATTAAGTGCATTGTGCGTGTACTATCATATTTGTGCTGTATATAAAATATTATTATAGATGCTGTTTACAAACATTTCATCAATATTGTTCAACAAATCAAATAGATCCTGTAGTATACATTACTACTACTATTTTTTAACAACTAAACATTCTATTTTTTTTTTTACAAGCAATTTGTTCATATATATTTAGAATCTTGCGAAAGATTGTTACTAAACGAAAAAATAAACTTATAATAGAATGAATACATGCATCTACTTAGGACTGGAATAGTTGGTGCTTTAGTACATTTCTTATGGAAAACCTGAAAATGAAATCCGGTCTTAAGTAGATACATCTTTGTCTATGCTTATTTACGAATATATTTGTAACTTCTTTTTAAACTTATCCACCTCTGGAATTGTACTATACTATTATTGGAATGTACATATTTCGAAAATAATATATTTGTTGCAATGTTCCTCCATAAGAAATGTGTCATTACAGAAAGAATAAAAATGTAGTAGGTAAAATATTTGTATACTTTCATAAGAAAATGTTTACCTACCTGTAAGACCACTTAACAGTGTTCGAGAAAGAGGAACAAACAACTTTTTAACAAAAATTTTACTTACAAGAATCTTTCTAAAAAATATCAACTCCAAGGGTGGAATGCATTTTTAAGTAAGAATAATTCTAGGTGTTAAAAGAGTTTAATTAAAGAAAAAACAATTAATACACTTTGACAGCATGGAAAACTAACATTAAATATAAATAACCATTAGTATATTTATAATTGTCTATCTTTCTAACAGCTTAAATTAGTGACACAATTATTACTACTCTAATATAATAATATTTATACTGATAGCATAGTTTTGGTATAATACTCAAAAAATGTACATAACAGGTGCATTAATAATATTTTAATAGATGTTAAAACAGAAGTTATATTAAATATTCTTCAGACTTACAAGTATTTTAAATACATTGAACATTCCACTAAATTGCTCTATACAATTTTTTATGATATATTTTTAACAAATTTTTGGCTTTGTATTTTTATGTACGTTATTATCTTTAAACTGATGAAAATACAATTATGTGAGTCAATAATTGAATACTAAGAAAATCAGAATCTGTATCAGATGAAAAGTATCTGTGAAGTATGTATAATTTTAATTATATCTCAACAGTTACACAATATACAGGTGATAAGAATATGGTTGGATGAAACAAATATGTATGTACGTGTATATCGAGTCATAGAAATACTGGAAGTTTTAGTTGTAAAAGATACTATAAAAATAAATTTTAATATTTTATACGATTGGAAGGTTTGGTAGGTACTGTACGTAGAGAACTTTTATATTGCACAAATATGATTAATCACAAAGTGAAATATAAAAACAAATGGAATTTATCTGTTACTTCTACAGTATTCCACACACTTTATATAATTATTTGTATATTGCATTTTTATATCAATTTACTATCCGTAATTACCAGTTAATAAAAAATTAACACAAATTAATAATATTATAGTTAATTGTTTGAATATGTAGGATATAGTATAGTAGGAAAATACATTCATTGAACAAGAATAAACGTATCAACTTTTAACGTTTCTTAATAGAAACATATACATGTACATGTACCTTCAAGGAAGTATATGTATGTATATAAGATGAGAATAGCACATGGCATATACTCAACATATATCAAGATACTATCAATTTTGGTCTCCTAAAATGCACTATCGAGTAAATGTTTATATTGAACTGTACATAATGAACACTAGTAAAATATTTGCCACTACATGTTCACATAATATGATAAAGTTTCAATGATAAACAATAAATGTTTTTATGAGATATTATTCTATCACGAATAGTACTGAAATCTTGATAAGATAAAAATTTCAATAATGTGCACTCAGTCGTATAGTAGTATTTGTGTAAGAATTTAGCTATATGTTAAAAGCTATGTTAATTTTGTATTTGTACACTTTATACACGAAATAATATACTTGAATAGTTTCAACGAAAAATAAACGTAAATATTTAATTACTAATTTATAAGGAATATAGATCTATCTTTTTTGTACTTGTGTTGTGTTACTATGAGGATTGTATTCGATTGTACTAAAATTTCATTACCAAATGATTATATGTCGCATCGTATTTAAGAATTATCAGAATGTCAAGAACGTGTATGATATTGTGACCTCGTATTAATGCAACAGCAGAGAGAGTATAATTGATGTGAATATGAAAATGTTAATGAACCTTTAATTCTCCTTTCAATGGCCATTTCCAGTTCAGCTTCCTTTTCCTGTGCTTCAGGGCTTGGCTTTGGAGCAGCAGGAAACGTTACCAAAACTATACTCATGTTATCTCTGCTACCCTACAACAAACACATCATTTCCAATAAATAAATCTGTAATAACATAATTTCTATCTACTTTCCATTAAATATAGAAAATACGAAATTCGAATAATATGTTACACATATGTATATCCAGAATATTTAAATACATACTTCTTTTCGAAATTCTAAATTTAGTAATTTAACACTCTGACTATAACATATTTACAATGAGTCAATGTTATGTAAATAAAATTGGTGACATAAAAGATAAAAACATGAGATAATTAATAGAATTAGGAGGATGTTATCTTATTGTTACTGAAAGGTTTAAGCTGTAATAATAAATGTATTAAAAATACATATAAATTCATCCTTATGTTATACACAATGTTATCGTCTTATAAACAAACTGGACAACCATAAACCATTACAAATAAAAAGTAATGGTCTAGATTGGTTTAGTTTTATTTTCAAGACGATAATAGATATTCACTCGTTAGGTTTTGAAAATTAAGAGCAAGCAACAACTATTTTTTATTCCAGAACATTCAGTGACCTATCCCCTCCTCCAACATATCACAAGGAACACTGAATTTGGTGAAATTGGCATTATTGAAAATAGTAATAAGAAGCTCGTTATAAAAAATATACATAAAGCTTTAGATATTATTACCTTGTAAAGGCAGGTGTCTATAACCTGGTTCGTAACTGCTTCTAGGTCGTCTGTAAGCAGCAGCCTTGAATGTATAAAATTACATAGATCTTCGTTGTTCATTACATCCCAAATACCATCACATGCTAAAACTAGAAACTCATCGTGTTCATCGTCTCTATCTCGCACAAATATTTCTGGTTCCGGAGACACTAACTGTTCACAGGGACCTCGATCTTTTAATGTTTTGTACTCATAGTCTCCCAGTGCACGAGAAACAGCTAAGGCTCCGTTAACTCTCTGAATCATTACACTACCGCCAGCATTTTGAATTCTTTCTCTTTCGGCGGGTAAAACTGGCTTATGGTCTCTTGTAGAGAAAACTGGACTTCCTGCCCGACAAAGTACAGCTCGAGAGTCACCGCAGTTGGCAATATATATATTTCTGGGAGATACAAATGCACAAACGGCTGTAGAACCAGACTTTTCTGTGCCGGAACTCATCTCTGGTAAGTCTCTCATTTCATCGTCAAGTCGAAGGAAACCAGAATGAATTCCCGTGATAACATCGTCTGCTTTAAATTCTTCTGTTTGCATTATACACTCTAGTAAGTGTTCCGCGCTATGTGCTGATACTAATGCACCTGCATGACCATCAAATACTGCAAAGTAACTCCAATCCGAGAGACCACCCTTTAAGCCAGTTATCGCTCTATGAGCATCCTCCATTTCCATTCTCCAACCTTGCATGCTAGCAACACCATAGCATAGTCCATTGCCAGAGCCATGTTCATTATATTTATCCGTTTTTGGAGTGTCCAAAAGTGTCCCCATAGTATTTAATGAATTTTTGCTGTGTCAGCTTGATTAATTTGCTTCCTTAAGTATTATTTGACCAGCATCTTTTAGCTGATCATTCGAATAACACTTGTTTAAGTTTTACCTAAAATTACAAGGATAGAAAAAGAATAGAAAAATCTTTATTTTTAATATACGTCTGAGATCGAAAACAATGTAATGTGTGTCATAAAATTACTATCTGTTACCAATGATCTCTAGCGGTACGGATATAAATCAAAAAGGAAAAAATAATATCACGTTCAACGTACATATTACGACATTGCTTAAAGTTTTCTTTTTGATCGCATCGTTGCGAGAGACGATTATATTAAGAGAATCGTATTCTGTTGCAGTCACAATTTTGGTTTAAGCGGGGGAAAAAGGAAAATTAGAACATAACATCGCTCTAATGCCGAACGTAACGTACAAGATTATCTCGAAGTGTGAACGTTACGAATGTGATACGATAACATTTGCGTAAATGGAAATATTCGAACAACATGCAATTACGCTTACTGTACAATTATAACAGTAACTTCGTCGATGTTGTAAATTAATGGAATATGGGGGGAAAGTAAGCTATACTAGATTCTAACAAGAAACTCTATTTGGCAGTGTAAAATTTTGCGACTAAAATAGTTTATACCTCAGATTGCATGTTCGCGAAACTTACGTAGGGAGATCGTGACCAAATATCATCGTTACTTCGGAAAAGTATATGTGTGTAGAGCGTGGTATTGCTAATAGACTTGTTTCATATCACTATCACCATGTTCCTTTGCTAGGCTCAACACACAGAACCAACGAAATCGACTTGTATGAATGGCGGATATACACTAGGCGATTTTCTGCGCATGCGTTGGTTATTAATAGCATTGCCTCGTGGCGTCATGATCTTCCAATCAAAAACCCACGATTTCCGCTCAAGCCTGGGCAATCATATTGGATTCTGAAGTAAAATTAACTCACGCGCGATACTGGAATTAACTCTCTCGAAGACGCGTATAAACAAAAACACCAAGTTCTTGTTGATGATAAATTCTACTGTCACTGATTACTGCGTTTATCGGTATTCCTATGGTCAGCAAATTCAGTTAGTTTGAATTTCGAATTTCTGTGACTCGTGCTTACATCCTCGAGATTTATTTTTACGATCTAACTATAATATTGTATATTCTAGTTATAGAGAAAATTATATTTTATAATAATATTAATTGTTTAATACGTAATGTATGTAAAATTACTTTAAATTTATAAACAGTAGAAAAAAAAAATATTATTTCTCGATAAGCGATAGTATTTTAACGAACATTGTTTCCCGTTTTATGTAATTGTGATTCATGCACAGATTATCTAGTTGGATTTACTTTAGCGTAATTGTTAGGAAAACATTTGAAATATTATTTTTATAATATGCTGACATGACATTTTATATTTTGATAAGAAAAATTGCCACTTTAATCTACTGTTCCGTTTCGCGAAAAAAAATGATACAATTAATGGATGAGATAAATACTTTATTTTTATAACGGATCGTAAGAATTTAAAATAGATTTTTTATAAAGTTGATGATTTTAATACATTCCTGTCAAGTCATATTCCAAATAACCATAATTGAATCAGGAATAACAAGATATCTTATTTGATAAATTCAAACTGACTTTGGCAGTTAATTTTAAAATGCTCTGTGCATGTTTTCTTTAGCTAATCAATATAACAAAAATAATGGACTACTTTCATGGAGAATTAATAACATATTTTTTAAAGTTTGTTTTGAAAATATATGGTGAAAAATTTGTTATATCTCTATGTATATTTAGATAGGAAGGACCGTAGATATAATTATGAATCATTTTTATAAAAGCAGTTTAATCTATCATAATCGCATTTCGAAAAATAAATTTTTTAACAAATCAATTACTTTTATGATTCTAAAATAAATAAAATTAAATAAACTCATGAAAAGGGAGTTTTTGTGGAAATGTGCTTTATATACATAAAGAGTAATTTTTGTGCAACTATTTTACTTTTGTTGTAAAACCAAGATCCCTAGGAATCATATACTCTCTGACTGTGTCGTCTGTTAGTTTACTTCTAGTTGCTTGATGCGCAGCTACCAGAGGTTGCAAAATATCTATCAATTCTTTTTTAAGTTCTCCTGTTAAAATTTCTCCACTAGTATAACCCTGAAAATTACGATCGTTCATGTTTCTTATATGTACCAGCATATAATTAAAAGAGTCATAGATTTAAACTTACTTTTCTAAGTTGTTCTAATTTTTCATCATCTTCTAGAAAGAATCTTAACCATTGATACGATATATCAATTTCACAATTGCCTCCTAGTTGCCTATGTAATTCGACAGTGGCCTGCCCTCCTGAGAACGCATGTTTGTTAACTTTATTTTTTATTTGCTTGGCTGTATCTGTCAAGAATATTGCAGTGTTGTCATTGCTAGCAGACATTTTTGTTTTAGAGCCCTGCAAGGCTGGGAAGAATACAGAATGTAGTAAAGCTGGTTTTGGGTAGCCAATCTTTGGCGAAACATCCCTTGTCATTCGAAAATAAGGATCTTGATCAATGGCACATGGAATCAAACAATGAACTTTTGCATTCTTAAAAATAAAAGGAAAAGTCCCAGAAATTGCTGGTGCAGCTTGAGTAGGTGGAAATGCAATTTTTCCAATCGGATCGCTATCTCCAAATCCAAATATGCCTTTCACTTGGTTGAACGTAACGCATCTTTGTATCCTAATTATATTTTGATAGAATGCAGGATTATTTCCAATATGTTCTAAATTGGAGAAGATGAAAGTTTTGTCTGGCTTGAAACCAAGAGCAATAATGTCTTTTGCATTATTATAGGCCAGCTTGATCGCATCTTCTATCTTTATATTTTTCCATATTGCTTTTTCATCGTCGGTCAATTGTACGACTAACGGAACTTGAAATACATCCTGTAACCATTTACAAAACATAAATGGTATAAGATGGCCCAAGTGCATGGAATCTGAACTAGGTCCTCTACCAGTGTAAAGGTAAAAAGGTTTTCCTTGTTCGTACAAATTTAAAATAGTATGCATGTCTCGATGAGAAAAAAATATTCCTCTTCTAAGGAAATGGTGAGGTTTTTGGCCAGTGATTTTCTCAAACCTGGATAATAGTTCTTCATCGATTTTTGAACTCCCGAATTTCCCTGTAATAATAAAGAGGAATTGGTTACGCAAATTTCCGGCTTTTGAAAAACATTATAACCTACGTGAAATCAACATAACAAAATAGTAGTTATTTTTGTTAATCCAACAAAAATATTTCTAATTCTTAAAGCATTCTTTATAAAATATTATCTTTGTAGAACTCACTAATCAGTTTATCGTAATCAATTCCAGTTTCGTTTGTAGATGTAACGTCCCAGGGCGTTACAACGTCCTCATCCGTTGTTCCGTTTAATGTTACCGCGTCAATTTCTACTCTCTCTGCCGTCATTTTTCGTTATTTTTTATTTTGTTCAATTTATAAATACAGTTAAATAAGTACTTGTACGAGGAACGTATGTCATATGCTACCATGCTATTGCCTTAGGCCAGGGAGATCAGTGATGACGAATTCGCGGCTTGAGAAGCCAACAATCGTGGTTTCCTACTTTCCTTCAGAGATGTCAGATTGAGCACCGCGCGTACTACTCACACTACATACTAACGCATGCCCTCTTTCTCGATTATCCGAAGCTGCCCGAAGTAATTTCGGACCACCTCGTGGAAATCTACCCGTTATTATTTACCGTTTAATTAATAATCGTATCGCTCTTAGCCGGGTAATGCAATTATTAATTAAAAACTAAACAATATTAACAAATTGGCTGCGATCCGCCTTGCATAGGTTATCACGAATATAGTGCTTCATCGTTAGGTTAGTTTTGATTCTCATCGATTCGTCAGAGACGAGGTATACGAGTAGATCGTTCACCCAATGTATTTTTTCGACCCATTTTTATAGGGTCTCGAAATCCCATTACCTTTTTCGTGTCATTTGCAACATTACCGGCAGATTTAGAAATGAATTTCTCACATGTATTTACGCACGCACTACGCTATCAGCCCATCAATACTAGTTCGGTGAATAGTTTGGCGACTGACCGCCATCTATGAGAAGAGGACGCTAAAATCACCTCGGAATTTTCACGTCGGTATGGCAGTCAGATTAGGCCACGAAAGTCCATAAGGTGTAAGCTGTCTACTCGTATACGTCGTCTGTGGTGAAAGCGTATCACTTTTATCTTATAATTACATTTATTTTAGACCGAATATTAGCTTCTTTACTAGATTCAAATCGTAATTTCTGCCATATTTAGCGCTGTATTCTTATTCCATTACGAATATCGGTGACACTGGACTTCATGTCGAAATGGTAAAAATATTCTAGATCATTGTTTCTCAAGCTTTCTTTTTGACTTTGTAGCCTCCCAAGTTCAATTTGGCTCATATCTATCGCGGTTGATATTTGTTGATCAAAATGACAGAATACATTTTAAGAAGGTAATGTTTTATTGACTTATATTACATATGTGTGTGTATCTGTGTGCGCGTCCGTATAGATGTGTGTATGCGGAAGAAAATACGCTCGCAATCGTCGGTGCGATTTACTATTGCAAGATAGAATCTCTGAGATTTAACCATAACGCGTATAACCTACACGATGTGTGCAATTACGAGATAATTTACGCCCTCGCGTAAAGTATTTTATTTATTCACGAACGATCGACGTTCGATTATTCGTCTTTCCTCGAAACTTCCCTAAAAGTACGACGATCGTAAAGAACGCTTCGAACGTAGCAACGTGTACGGGCAGTAGCAACGCGTACAATCGAAATGTTCGGGACGATTAACTCGGAATGGGCGGCGGAGGCGGTTGAGGATTGAAAGCAATCGGTCGGTAAGTCTTCTTTTTCGTGAATGGTTGCACTCCGTTTAGTATGAAATCATGCGTAGGATTCCTCGGCCGTTTCGCTGGTTCCACCGGTGTTTCCTCTTCCGAGGTTGCAGCATCGTCGCTTCGTTCCGGACTAGCCGACCTGCTCAACGTTCGCTCGTGTTTGTTTGCGTTCGTTTCTTTCCGTTATCTCGTCGCGTTTCGAATCGGCGGAAAGAGTTCACTGTTCGACGAATCGGTATTTCAACGAATCTTATTCCAGAAACGTGAATCGCGCGTGAACCGTTTCCGCCAGGATTCGACCGAGTTTTGCGAATCGAATCGAATCGACGACCATCGTGGAAAACTTTACATCGATATACATACATATGTATAAGTAATTTTCAGAGAACACGTCGATTCGACAAGCATTCCGAGCATCCGTTTATATGGTACTTTAGCTAGAGTCTGACGGATCCATGCGCAATTAGAAGCGTTACCTGGCTTAGCTTTAGCGAAGCGTTGTTAGATGACTAGAGGCGTTAAGATTACGCGTAATACATATATCATGCCCACCTTAAAACCTGCGTGAAACGAAAAACGAAAAAGCCAACGATTAGTAATCGGAAACGAAACGGTTTGGAGGGACTCGAGCAAAGAGGAAACGCGATCGCTTTTCATGCAGAAAATAGCCAGAAATGGATTGTTAATACGTAACGTTCGTTGAATCGAAGATAGCAAACGATCGTGTTCGATGTAGCACACAAGGGTAGGAAAAGTACGGTCGACTGAAGCAGAAATGGAGGCTGGTACGACTATCGTTGAACGTACCTAGATCGATGATGCGGTTTGCTTTTTATTCCAGTCTCCCTGGAATGCGGCCTGGTGTTTGGCTGCGAGAATTCGCTGTCGCTACTCGCGAAGGAGGATCTACCTATCATCGCACCGTGCGCGAAATCTTTCCTGCAGGACGAAACGATTACACGGTGGTCGCCTCTCGGAATCATAGTTTTCTCGAAGATCGATGTACTTGCCTGTAATTGTCGGACCTGGGGGTGGAGTTGGACGTTACAGGCTTGGCAGGATGAACGTTTACGTCGACGAAGACGGGTGAACTTTTAGGGATATCGCAAACGATCTTTGGATGAACGGTAGTTTGTTTGTATTCTAGGTTCGACGAGGTATCCGGGGCCCAGTCGTAGTATTTGGGTCGGTAGCTGATTTGTTCGCCGCGACGGTGCTTCGAGTCGGAGGCTGAACCCGAACCCGAACCAGAGCCAGGCTCTCGTTGTCGATGAAATTCGCTGCTCGCGTCCAAGTTCTTCCCAGCCGTGGTCGCCGATTTTCCAGCCGGCAACCAGGTCGGCGACGAAGCCGTGGAAGATGGTGCTCCGTCGGGTTCCGCGCGAGACAACTGCGAACCATCCCACTCGACGGCCGGCATGTTGCTGGACAAAAATTAATACAAAACGTGTGTATGTGTTAGAACACGCTCGATGGTGTTATAGGCCGTGGCCGTGCTCGTATTCTCGACTCACTTGAAATTCTCTTCCATTTCCTTGAACAGCCGCAACTGTTGCCTGATGTTGGCCTTCTCCTTGGCGCGCTTCCGCTGAAACTCCTCCTCGACCTTCCGCATGGCTTCGAGCTCGCCTTTCCTCTGCCGTTCCTTCGCCTCCGCCTCCCTGGACAATTTCTCGGCCAACCTGCGCCTCTCGATCTGTCTGACCGTCGACTGGAAGGTGAACCGTCTGCTCTTGGACTTGCTCTTTGGTTGAGGTTTCCTCTCCGCGGACTCGCCGGACGGTTCTCCGTTCGATTCTCGCTCGCAGGTCGACGACTGTCGTCTTCTTTGCTTCGCCTCGCCGTTGTTCTCGTACGATTCGACGAAGCTCGAGCGCTCCGCGACGGCTCTCGAGCTCGCGATCCCGCCCACGCACGACCTCGAATTCTTCGAGCGTCGTTTCGCCGTGACCGCGCGCTCCTTGGAGTTTTCGGTGGTCGCCTCCTCGCCGGTGGCGATTTTCCGTCCGTTCAGGCTCAGCACCCGGTGTTCCGCTTCGTTCGACTCCGGCAGATACATCACGTGACCGCCGGGCGTCAGGTACGAGAAAGACGGAGGCTTCATCACCACGGGGAAGTCGTTCACTTTGCCTTCGGACACCAGCTCGTCGCCAGCGTCGTCGTCCACCTCGTCGTCGCCTTCAGCGTCCTCCTCGTCCCCCGCTATATCGTCCTCGTCCTCCTCCTCCTCCTCCTCCTCCTCCTCCTCGTCCTCGTCCTCGTCCTCGTCCTCGTCCTCGTCGTCGTTGACGTTCTCCTCGGGATCGTTCCGAGGCACGAACGGCCTCCACACGGACGTCGAGACCCGCGTCACCTCGACGACCTGGTTGTGCTGCAACGAGGTGGGCGCGCTCGTCGACAGGAACCAGTTGTCGTCGAGAACGTCGGGCGCCGACTTCCTGTGGAGGTCGTGGCCGCCGATACCGAACGCTCCGGACACCGATCTCTTGAGCTTTTTCAGGGAATTGAACGCGGACACCTCTCTGGGCTTGGTCTCGGGGGCGCAGAGGTACGACCTCGAGTCCTCGCGAGGCAACGAGAGGGAGAAGACGTGCGCTCTGGGAGGATATTTTAGAGGAGTTGCCAGAGGCGGCGGCGAGTCCACGCCAGCGTCGCTGCTCGATTCCTCGCCCAGGTCCTGCTGCGGCGTCCACGTCGGTCTCGTCGCCGGCGTCTTTATTCGATTGATGGTGCTCACGTCCAAGGAATCCTCGTTCGGCGCCCCGGCGTCCCCGGATATCCCGGAATCGCCGGACTTGTCGTGCAGACTCCTAGGACCGAGCGCGAGCAGAGGCGGCGGGGGCGGCGGAGGCCTCGAGAGACGCTCTATGCGTTCCTCGAACATCACCTGGAACGCGATCGAGGCAAACTTTTAGCGTTATCAATTATCATCAGATTTTACGATGCTTTGATCGTTTTTGCAGGCCAGTACGGAACGGAATGGTTCTGAGATCGACGAATTCTAGAAGGAAGCGTGTATCGGAAGGAACTACAGATTGGTTCGTAAGGAAATTTTAATAACAGAGCGGGTACGAGGTACGAAATTGTTTATTAACGTTTTACGAACCGGTATTTCTTCGCTGGCGGTGCTCATACTCGGTCCTGGCGCTTCCAGAGCGGATAGTAATCTCCACGCTGCGGACGGCGAAAATCGTGGGATTTCCAGCTGCTTTTTTGGCAAGGTTGGTCGTAATTTCAGCGAGATGTCTTCTACCACGTTTCGTCCCTGTAAAATAGCAGAGATTTCTTGCCACGGTGGTATAACAGTTATCCGGTACATCGATTTACAAATTATCCAAACTTTTCTTTTTTTATGACATTCAACTGTTTTCTATTATAGTTTCAGGCATAGATCGTTCAGGATACATGGGATATATGGAGTATATTCAGGTTTGATTCGTATATTTCTGCTTTGATTATCCAAACGAACGAAATTAATAAAAGATTCCTCGCTCACAGAGTTGTCGTCCGTATCCTCGGCCGTTTCCACGGAAGATCTACCGTCTTCCACATCCCGGAACTTGGCCCGCGTTTCCTGTTTCCGGTGATGAGAGCCGTCGCGAGATTCGCTGGTCAGGATCTCGTTCATGCCGAAATAGAACGTCTTTGGAGCTGGCTGTGTCGACGAAGCGAACCTACAGAAACACATCGCAACAGTTCGTTCTAAAAGTACAGGAGGAACTCGACAGGGAAAAGCTATATCTCTAGAATTATTGATTTCCAGTTAACAATTTGGTAAAAATCAACGTTAAGTAAAATAATTCAAAGAAGAAATAAACTCACTGGTCGTCCTCCCGTCGATGTTCCTCCAGGGTTTTCGCTTCCTCGGAGAAAGCAGGTGCATTTTTAGTTTCCGGTTTGTCCGTAGCGGGCCATTTCTCGTCGTTCGATTGCTTGCGTCTGTTGTTGGCCTTATCCCCGTTCCACCACCTGGGATCCGAGTTCTCCTTGTCCCCGGTTTTCCGCTGGACCGTTTCCGGCGTACTCGATCTTCCGACGGCCCAGCCTCTGGTCTCGCGAGCATCTTTCGCGGCACGCGGCCGTTCCGCCACACCGACCGTTACTTCGACGCGCTTGCCGTGTTTCGCGCCTTCGTTGGCTCGTCGGCGACGGTCCGCCGCCTTCCGTTCGATCCTCTCTCGCAACGGTTTCCTGGCCTCGTCTCGATCGGGACTGGACGCCGGCCTCTCCGTAGGTTTCGATTCCTCCGCTCGTCTGCCTCGACTTCTGCTCTTCGGGGACAGACGCTCGTTGGCGTCGCGACTCTCGCGTCCATCCGGACTCTTCTCTCGAAATGCACGATCTCCTTCGCAGCCCACCGAGACGTCCAATCGACGATCCAACGATCGAAACTCGGTCGTCGATTCGCCGGCGTTCGCGGTGCCTGTGAAATCGAGCTTGTCGCGTACTCTTCTCGCGACTTGGATCAGCTCGGCCTGAAACTCTGGGCTGCTCATGCTCCTCTGAAGCGTGTTCTTCCCGTCGATCTGCTTTGGCCGTTGTCGATGCTCGTCCACGCGACGAGGATCCACCTTGGTCTCGCTCGATTCCCGTCCTCCTCCTCCTCCTCCTCCTCCTCCTCCTCCTCGTACTCGTTCGCGATCGAACGCACGATTCAATCCTGACAGCTGCCAGCTGACCTGAGCCTTCTTGCTCTCCGCTCGCGTCTTGAAGAGACGAGAGCGTCGCGGCGGCGGCTGTACCTCCCTCTCGAATCGACATCGAGCGTCGAGGTCCCTCGCGCATCGAGGATCGCCGGCGCTCGTCGCGTCGCCGGTCAGCTCGAGCAGCGTCGGCGGAGCCGGTGCTTTGTACTTCTTTCTAGCCTTGTATCTGCTCTCGACGCGATCCTTGACGTCCCTGTCGACGCGACGGCAGTTGGACGACCGTCCGTCTTCTCCGTCGGCGGATTTACCGGCGATCTGTCGATGATCCTGGAACGACGCACCGACGTCGGGGGAATAGCGGAGATCGGGCTCGCTGCCGAACCTTTTCAGCTCCGCGGCGATCTCCTGCTGGCTGGCGTCGCTCTGGTAACGTCGACAGTGTCGCTCGATCCTCCTAGATCGGGGCTCGGCGACGTTCGACGCCGAGGTGCTCCTGCCTCGGAACGGACCCTCGTGCTGAAACATTGCTTTCTTCGTCAGTAAACGGATCAAAGAACTTTCTCCTTCTATGGGGATACGCATGAAATTTCGGGGAAACATTTGTGCCCACGTATTACGTGCTCAGTAAGGAATTTTTTCAACGCAATGTGGATGGAAGGCAGTACGGGTAAGCTCGAAACGAACGTTTTACCTTGCCGAGGTCGCGCGAGGACGCAAACGTCGGTGGTCTGCGGCCGCTTATGGTCCCTCCGTTGTGAATGATGCTCCCGTTGTCGGTGGCACGCAGTCTCTGATTGGGTGGCTCGGGAAGGACCTTCCGTGCCGCCGTGGGCTGCTGCGACCGATGCCTCGCGAGCTCCCGAGGAAAGGATTGCGACCACCCGCGGCTCGCTTCCGAACCCGGCAGCCCGTTCGAACACATGGACGCGGCCTGTTCGTCCCGCGAATTGCTCCCATTGTTGCCCATCCTTCCGTCCTTCGCGTTGCCGCCTCACGAGAAACGCCACCCGTCCGCCATCGTGCATCTGTCGCAACGGAAACTCTCTGTCATCCTTTCGATTCCTTTCTCGTCGTTTAACCCTTAATCGGATCACCGATCACCCCCCACCCTAAACATTTTTTGATAAATATAAACTAAACGTTAAGTAAAACGATGGAATGCTGTTGGAATGGAGAGTCCGCTTGAAAAAGATAGAGAGCAATTCGCGTCGGTCGATGGAAATCGAGAGAAAATCAAAGCACGTCGGAAGCTAATTAACGTCGAAGAAGGACACGTTTCTTATCGAAGAGCCAACGCCGAGGAATACCGTATTTTCACCGTAAACCGATCGTACAAGCAACGCAGTGTCGCAGCGTTTAAAAGCAAAAGAATCGTTCGAGACTCGTCGGTTGTACGAGAATTATGACCATTCCTGGCCGAGAACCGGTGGTCGTCGAGTAGAACGAGTGCAGTGAGTCAGACGCGCGGGAAATTTCGCGGCCCGTTCGAACCAGGGGCGACGGATGTTCGCGCCGAGCAGCCGAGGATGACGGAGAAAAGGTGTCGAGTAACGAGAACGAGTAAGGAACAAGACTGTCCCCGGGAGTAGAAAGACAAGAAAGAGGAGACGAGGAAGGAGGAAGAACAGAGGAAGACGTTTACCCCTCGCTGCGATCGCAAGTCGAGAGTCGTCCAACTCCGCGATCGATTTCGAACTCTCGATCGGAGCCACGGTATTCGTTGGAAACGGGGCCCAATTTCTGCGGACGTACGAGATCGAACAGGCCCGTTTCGGTTCCCTGTTGGCTCTCGTCCGTCGAAGCGAAGCGAAGCGGCAGGCAACCGAGATACCACCGATAACGGGTTTTGCCTAACGGTTTCGAATTGGTTCGAGAGACGCGATAAATCGACGAACGACCCAGACCGGATCGCGACGATCCGACGCGGTAGATCACGCATCGACGAACCCGCGTCGCGCTCGATCGCGGCTCTCTCGCGTATCGCCGATTCGACGAGGAATCCTACCGAAATGGAATAATTACACAGGGTGTAGAATTCACGACTACATTCCACAAAAGACTTTATACAAACGAGCTTGTTTTCGAGTTATGGCGAGTTTCTTCTTTGACACACCGTATTTGGGCCTGGAGACGTTTTATCATCGACCGTCTCACCCTTTCCGTTTCTCGGAAATATTTTAAAATTGTTCGGCAAGCGTCTACGAAACGGACGGTCGATCCACTGAAAACGTAAAACGCGACGTTGCGTAAAGTCGAAGAGAAAGTTGCTCGAACATGTACCAAGATGCTTGAGAGCGTATCGTCGTCCTTACGTTTCATCGGTTTTTAAATCGTTTTGTTCGGTGGCTCGTAGGAAGAATATCACACACGCTTCCTATTTAATCTACGCAACGAACTTTCAAACGAAGAATCGGATCTCGCACGCGATCCGATCGAATCGTTAAACCGCGCTGCCAGGCTTCCAGAGAAGCCTGGTTTATGCGATTCTCGATCGCGTTTACGAGCACGGTACAGGGTAGACTGGTCCACGAATTCTTTGTTGCCGAGTCACAACGCGTATATTCTCCAAAATCTGCCAACGGGAGTACAACGTTTTCGTGTACACGCCATTAACGAGAATCGCGTGTTGAAACCTTATTTATCTTTCCATACAATTTTATCCGTTCTCGCTACGAATAGTAGCATGTAGGAATGCTCGTCTATCTCGCGCGGTGGGATAATAGAATCTCCTACGTGGATATATTACGGCCAGTATAGTTTTAATTGAATCTGATTGGAAACACGATGCGAAATAAACTTTCCTCTCGTTATCTGGAAGATAATAAGATCTCGTTTACTATCGATCGCTTGCACACGTACTTACGTACCTACGAATTTTAACTATCGCGATTTCGTATCGTCTTCCCGAAACACCGCGCCGCGCTATTCGCGTCCAATAGAAATTCTTCGGAGATTCAAACGTACAAGTTTCCTTGCGTTTATAGGTTTTCGATAAAAGCACCGTGTTATTTTCGTTGACTCGAGTACCGTGTACACGCGACCGCAACAGACAATTAACCGTGAAGATAAAAATGTTGTTCGTGACCGACGTATTCGTTGTTCGTTATGCACCGAACACTAAAACCGCATAACCGCATATTTCGTGCATACGTACGGCTATCGAATATGAAATGCTAATATATTCCGGCATTCACTGGCCCCCGACAATTAGGGAGATACCTGTGTATTCCGTGTTCGACGATCAAGCCGAATAAAAAAGTATTCTGCCGTTTGACGGCACGACACGCGCTAACAACGGAATACAAAGTAACGAGGTATTCAACTCCGTGGAAAAAAACGATTTCGCGAGGAAGGCTAAACGTTTACCGATGCATCTGGAATAATGTGTCGATGGTTGGTGGATAAAATTCGAGTCCGTGTACTCACCGGGAACGTTAAAGCGTGTTGTCGGTTTTGGTTCGCGAGCGCGTATCGTTGCGCCAAGAGGCTCGGGACAGGTGAATCGAGAAAGGAAGAAAAACGTGTGACTGATCGGATCGACTGATCGGATCGGATCGGATCGGATCGGATCGGATCGAATCGGATCGAGGTCGCGGTCCTCGTGCGAAAAAGAAAGTCTTCCTGGGGCGCGGACGAGTCCGATCCGGTAAATCCGGTGAGAGCGGACGAGACGCGACTCCTGTCAGCCTGTTTTTTTTGCCATCTCCTCTCCCCGTTCTCTCTTCGCTTTCGACACCGAGCGCGCATCGATGACCGAAATTCGTTTAACGAGGTTCCGCGCACCGGAATCCGTAAAGAATCCGAAAGTTGGCAAACGAACGAACCCGCTCGATTCGCGGCCACGCAAATCCTCCAGACTTTTAAGACTTAAGGTTGTCAAAATTTCCACGACCATCGGGACTATTAAAAGAGAGTTTTAATCATATGTATCGCATTAGTATTTGGTTCGGAGAACATTGCCAAAAGATACGCTGAGATCTTGAATTTCGTATTTATCCCCAAAAGGATCTCTGCATACGCTAGCTCTTCGATCCGGGTTACGTAGCGGTCATCGATCAGCTTTATTGCATGCACCGTATTTTACGATAAAAAAAAAAAAATTCAAGAATCTTGCCGCGTCACACGATGACCAATTTTAAATCGCGAACGACGATGAAACATATTTTCGTGAGCAAACGCGTCGCGTATAAACGTATTACCGGTAAATGGGATTTCGATTATTACGATACAATAAAGAGACCGACGTACGCCGTGGGGTACCAGGTGAAAATCGATGAATTGGAAATGGACCTCCTGGAACGAAATATCAGAAACGTTTCGAACCGGAAACAGTCAATTTACTACTTTCCAATCTATCTCCGATAATCCTCTAATCGCCAGGATCTGTCTAAATCTTTTTATACATCTTCTCTCGACTACTAAATTTCTTTTCTGTCCACTATTATAACTCTCTCCCAATTAATATACGTTTCATAGATTTCTACGCCTCGTTTAAACGTACCCCGTTGATTTATTCTTCCTTTTCGATTTTGCTCTTCTTCTTCTTTGGTAACGGTGTCCTTTCACTGGTCTCGCGTTTAAGTTCGTTTTGTACTTTGTTCGAACAGTTTCCAAACGATAAGTGTTTGCTCGTTGAAACCGAATCCATAAACGTTCGATCGAAATGTAAACCTCGATAATAATTGGAAACTACCGTTCAACTACCGTCCCTGTACGAAATATCGTATATTTTGACGGTAATTTTGGTAAACGTGGAAGACGAAAGAGTTGAACGGTCGCTTAGGCGCGCGTGACCGAGAGAGACTACGCGTCCGATAGCGTATTTAGAGATGAATTTTCATGCAAACAGTCGGAGGACGCGGACTCGCGCTTACCGACGATCTCTACGGCCTACATTCCAGCTCTCGGAACGTTTCTAGAGATCGGCGTTGCGTAAAGAGACGACGCCGCGGTGCACGCGTGTCCGACGAGGTCTTCGAACGAGGAATTGCTTCCGAACGGTCGCGTACGATCGCGACCGCGGTGGAGCGTGACAGCCGTAATCGTCGGACCGTAATTCGCCGACGGCTGTAAGAGTTTTCGGAGAAAAGGAGCGGAATATGCAAACAAGAGACACTCACGAGCATACGCGAGTAGCGAGTCGCGCGCTCGACTCGACCGCACGAACGAAAACTTCCTACTAACAGAGCTTGGCGTAATTATGAGAATATCCAGGCTTAGGATCGCCGCTATGATAAGCAGCCAAGCGTAAAAATTTGTGTCGGGGCCCTTCAAGAGCATGAATGTGACGTAGTAAAGAGACCAGATTAGTCATATTCCAAGATTGGTATTAGTAATCTTAGTGTGTTCGTATCGTTGAAAAGTCTGGCAGTTCTATGAACGAGACCCAAAGGCACGAGAAATTATATCTTTGAAATGTCAAGTTAGCACTAGGACTGAATCTGATAACTTTGCATTCTAATCTAATCTTGCAAGGTAATTCCGAATCGAACTGAGAAAGGATGATCGGTGCATATTACAGTCAGGCCCTGAGGTTGTCGTCGAGTTTGGAAGAAACAAACATCCTGGGAAACGAGGATCGTTATACCGGACGGTTGCATTGGCGCGCGTCGACAGACACAGGCTGTTGTCCGTTTGCTCGTACGGCGATTAGTCGCGGATCGTTAAGCCCGCTTCACGGAACACGAGCACTAGGAATAGTTCCACGATCTTGGATCGATCTTACGCGCCGGACCTTCGCCTCGATTTCTCCCGTAACGGTCCAGATGGTACGAATTTTCACGTGTGCCGTAATTGAATAGCCCATTCCGCGTCGCTATTACAAAGCAAAGGATCGACGGCGATCGATTTCACGGATTCGCCGGGGGGAACACGGAAGTGGTCCGGAAACGGGTCGCGGAGACCTCCGGCCGTCCTTGACGTTAACGATCGACGATCGATTCTTGAGGGCAGTTTCGACGCTCGAACCGGACAAGATAAAAGCAAACGCGCTAAACGTTATCCGCGAACGAGAATAACGGCTGGC